TGTCTCTTGCCTTGTTGCTCTGGGTCTGTCTGGACCTGTCTGTCATCTGTCTGTCCATCTGTCTTCTGGGGTCTGAATTCCAGTTCCAGCCTCGCCTCTGGCTCACAGTGTGGCCTGAGCAAGATTCTCTCTGGCAGTATATGTCCATGTCTCTTCCATCTGTACCCAGGTCCCTGCTTGACCCCACTAGGCCATCTGACCCACCCAAGTCCAGCTGCAAAGTATGTGAGAACACCTCATATACACCCTCCCCACCTAGACCTGGAGAGTCAACAAAACACCAGTCTTTCAGTTACTCTCAAACACTCCTGGAAGAGGATTAATCAACCCAAATCCCAGCAAGTCTTTGGCCAAGTTTAGCAGAAATTTAGAAATGTGTGCATGTTTCTGTAACAGCAAAAAGTGGACAACGGTGTCTGTAGGGTCCAGCTGGGTGATCTGGGGTTCTTCTACCTAAAGAACATGGCCTTGGTGTGAGGAGGCCAGGCAAGCTCCACAGTGGATGCAGAGGGCTCCCTAAGACCATCCTTGTAGCACAGGGCCAGACTCCTCATGAAGCAAAGGAGGGTGCAGAATGATGGAACAACACCTTCTTTCTTTGAGAAAGGGAAAGTGTTCTTGTGCTTGTGCTGAGGACGAGACCATGAAGGAGCAATGCAGTGCTAAGACAGATTGCTGCTTCCAGGGCAGAGCATAACAAAGAAAGGAGAGAGGGAAGGAGGGAGGGACGGAGGGAGGGAGGGAGGGTGGGCAGGCCTCCAAATGCTCCTGGATTTATGCTGTGGTCTGTAGAACCAAGCACTTTGTATAATTGAAAAGAAAAATTTAATTAATTTTATATTTAAAACAAATGAGGAAAAAGTGACTCTGGATGTGGAGTTGGTGGAGAGCCACTGTTAAGAATTACTATGGTGACTCTGAAAGTCTTTTGATTCAACTCCATCCTCATGGGAGTGAGCACAGAGAGACAATGAGCTTTCCGAAGACTTCAGAGGGGATACTGACATTGTCATTTCAAACTTGCTACAAATACAAGGAGAAAAGCAAGTAAATTTAGGATATTAAAAAAGAAGTAAAAGATCAAATTTTAATGAATAAAAACCCAAACCAAAAAACAGAATCCCAAAGTTTAAGTGCAAATATCAGCAGGAACTCGGGTTTTAGGTTTCCACTTCCGAAAATATAAAGCATGTTGGCAGGTGGTGCCTGCCTGCAGTCTCAATACTTGGAAAGCAGAGTCAAGAGGACTGGAGGTTTGAGGCTAGCTTGGTCTACATGAGACTGTATCTCTCAAAAAAAAAAAGATAAAAAGTGTTGGGCTGGAGAGATGGTTCAATGGGTAAGAGCTGTGCACCCATGAAGATCTGAGTTTGGAACCCCAGCAACCACATAAAATGCTGGAGGCATAGCCCTGTACCTGTAGCCCTGGGGAGAGGGGGTTGGAGACAGGAGGATCACTATGTCCTGGTCCCCAGCCTAGCCAATAGTGAGCTCCAGATCCCCATGCTCTGGTTGTTGTGAACATCGAGATGGTGAGTATCCTCCTGTAAGACTCCACCAAGGGCTCATGAGGTCACCAGGATGGCACAGCAGTAGCCATGGAGAGGCTCCAAACCCACAGCCCCACTGGGACAGTGTGGACACTGACTGCAGGACCATGACTGCAGTAGATGGAAACAAGTCAAACAGTGAGCAGCGCTGCAGTGAGCCTCGGACACAGCCTCGGGCCTCAGGGAGGCTAGGCCTCCTCTAGAAGATGCCGGCGTAAGAACTGGGCATGGATGACTTCCCTCTTCAGACGCGGCTTTGCCATCACCAGCTCAGCAAGCTCTTTGTAACTTTATCTGGGAGAACCTGAGTAAATAATGGGAGAGAAATGAAACTTTGGAAAAAATCACTCTTTTGCATTTGCTGTGATATTGCTAGAACAGTCGGTGGCAGTCAGGAGGGAGATCCCATGATGGAAGAGCTGGACTGAACCAATGTCAACTCTAGACCTTGAAGGTGATGTGTCAGGAGGCCAGCTTAGGGTTCCAAGTGGCCGTGAACGGCCTGTTAACTGCCACACCAGGAAGCATGCCAACTCCAATACATAGAAAATTCTGTGAGATGAATGACACCATTTCTTTTCTAGCCACATGGCGGGGAGGCAAGAGAAGGACAGATGAGAACTGAGGCCTTCTGGAATGAAGGGTCTAACACAAGTGGTCCTAATGTGCGCAGACCCACTGTATGGGTGACATCTCAGAGGATGGGGGCGGGGCAAGCAGAGAGGAGGCTTTTCTGAGTGCCCCTCTGTCATCTGTACAGAAGTGTTTATGGGTAGACTGAGATACGCTGGCTTTCCTTTAAAATGGTCCAGGCACTCCCTCCATGTCATCTCCCCTATGCCCCACAGTGGAGTCAGGGATTGGCTTGCCCAGGTGCTGGAGGAGCTGGTCAGGGAAGGGCCCCGGAAGACAAAAGGGCTGTGGGAAAGCTGTTAAGTCTTGCTTCAACTGGCACTGGCCATGATTGGAATGGACACCCTGCAAAAGGTGAAGGAAGACCGCCAAGGAGAGGTTGTGTCCTGGGGGCAGGGCTGTGAATCAGCACAGGCCCACACTGAATGCAGGCTGCGAGCTCCTTGCAGTGAAGGGCTCATGCCATCGTGGCTGCAGAAATCTGTCTTCTAAGAATCTATTCTGAAAAAGTCATTGAGTTTGGTTCTGCAACATGGGCCGGCGGAGGGCGGGGGAGAGGCTCACTATTGCTTCCCTATAATGTCACTGGGAATATATTTTTTTCCAAATATAAATTTCCTAAATAAAAAGAAATTGTTTATTTTTTTTTCAGTCTCATGAGATGAAAAAGTTCTGGAAAGAAAATCTGCTTAGTCGGTATTGAACTGAACACTTAACAGTGATGAAGAGAGGACTGGAGAGGCGGTTCAGTCAGTGAGGCGTTTGCTGCTCAAACACAAGAACCTGAGTTTTAGCCCATGTATCCCCCCCCCCCGCAAGGCCAGATGTGGTATGCACATCTGTAGTCCTAGCACTAGGGAAGTGGAGAGAAGTGGACCCCTGGGGCATGCTGGCTAGCCATTTCAACTACTTGGCAAATACTAAGCCAATGACAGAACCTGTCAAAACAAAATAAAACCAAACAACTCTCCCCCCCCCCCCATCCCCACATAAACCAGAGACTGTCTAGGAGGCTCAGCAAATGGAGGCACTGTGGCCAAGCCTGAGAATCCGAGTTCCATCTCTGGGACACACACGGTAGGAGAGAGCTGAGTCCTACAGGTTTTTCTCTGCTCTCTACATGAGACGTGCACACAAACAGATAGATGTTATAAAAAGTTTAAGTATAAAAAAAAAAAGGTAGTCAGCTCTTAAGAAAACCTGTTGGAGATGGACCTCTGGCTTCTACACACATGGCACACACGTGCATCCAGACCGTTCCAGAGCTGTGCACAGCTACACAGGAACAGCGAAGATGGGAAATGCATGTGTTGTGCCTCTTACCACCACTAAATATGTAAAGGGGTTGGCTGTGTTAAGTAGTACGATATGTCAGAAATTACACTACAGAAGAAAATGTGTGAACGTGGGAAAATAGACAAAGAGCCAGATAGACAAGTTCTAAAGCCAGCATTTGCCTGAACTGGGTTCGGCACTTTTTTATTTGTTTGTTTATTTGTTTGTTTGTTTGTTTGTTTGTTTGTTTTTGAGACAGGGTCTCAGGTATTCCAGGCTGACCACATACTTGCTGTGGTGCTGGAGATGACTTTGAACTCCTGATCCCCCTGCCTCCACCTCCCTGCTGTGATCACAGGGATGTGCCACTGTGCCCTGCTTTGGGTACATTTTTTTTAAAGTGGGAGTGTCGAGCTAGGCTGGAAGGGAGAGTATTATGTCTAATGTTAAAGGACATGCTCAAGAGGCTCTGCCTTTGGACCAGGGAGATGGCTCAGTCAGCAAAGGGCTTGCCTTGCAATCATAAGGACCCAAGTTCCACTCCCTAGCACTCATGGAAAAGCCTGGTGTGGTGGCACACATCTATAACCCTAGCAATGGGGAATCAGAGACAAGAGCTCATTGGCTGGCCAGCCTAGCCAATCTGTGAGCTTCAGGCTCAGTGAGGGATCTGTCTCCAAAAGTAAGTTGGAGGTAGATGGAGGAAGACACCACCTGATAGTGATGTTGACCTGTGACCTCCATCCACACTCACATGATGTACACACATAGACACTATGCCCAGGAACATGCACACACACACACACACACACACACAGAGAGAGAGAGAGAGAGAGAGAGAGAGAGAGAGAGAGAGAGAGAGAACTTCTTCAGGTCAGGAGCTGGAAAGATAGCTCCATGGTTAAGAGCACCAGCAGTTAGGCCAGGTGTACGCCTTTAATCCCAGCACTTGGAAGGCAGAGGCAGGAGGATCTCTGTGATTTCTAGGCCAGCCTGGTCTACAGAGAGAGTTAAGGCTCTGGGCTAAGGGCTAAGCAGAGAAACTCTGTCTTGGAAAAAAAAAAGAAAAGAAACCCAAACAAACAAACAAAAATCCCAAAACAACAAAAAAGAGCACCAGCAGCACCAGCAGCTCTTCCAAAGGACCCCAGTTCAATTCCCAGCACCCACATGACAGCTCACAGCTGTCTGTACCTCAAGTCCCAGGGGATCTAAAGCCTTCTTTCGGCATCCATGAGCACAGTGTACGTGGTGTACAGACATACATGCAGGCAAAACCCCATACGCATAAAAATTAAAATAAACTCCAATGTCAGGCTATTAGCAGTCACCTTTTGCAAATGGGGAAACTGAGGCTAAGAGGTGGAGCAGAGCTTGGAGGCTGGGATTTCCTCCTGCTTGCTCCATCCCAGGCTGATGTCCAGTCTGTGGTGTCCACATTCTGGGGTATTTCCTTTTCCCCTCCAGCTGGTCTTGTGGCGTAGAATAGTGGCTGTTGCATAGAGGCACTAACAATGCTGTGGCCTGTGGCATCTGTTGCAGGCTGTTGATGGAGAAGTGGGCGAATGACAGCCGGGACTGTGGTCATCACTGGGGGCATCTTGGCAACTGTGATTCTGCTCTGTATCATCGCCGTTCTTTGCTACTGTCGGCTTCAGGTACTCCCAAGGGGTGGGGGAGGGGATCTGGCTGAGGTGGAGCCTGAGAGGTGGCTCTCCCGGGGGAGCCCCCAAGAGGACAGAGAGGGTCAGGGTCCAGGATGGAGTGGAGGAGGGTACAGTCAGATTTCGGGGGGTGGGATATCTCTGTGCAGTTCAGTGGCCAGATGCCCATCTCACCAAGGCTTTTGCTAAGGCTCAGAGAGAGTCAAGTGGCTCGTGGCGCACAGCTACCCTTCAGGAGAGCAGCAGTGAGGAGTGTGCTGCCTCATGTACCCTTCCCTGCTTGAACTTTAGAGGCCCCCGAGGCCCCATGTCTTCCCGAGAAGAAGGAGCACCTGTGTGCAAGGCACACCCAGTGCCTACGACAACTCTAAGACCTGAAATGGCTTACCCAGCTCTGCCACTTTCAGGTGTCTTACCTAACTGTGCCTCAGTTTACCTGCCGGCAAATTGGAAATTAGATTTACATCTAGCTGTGTGGGTGAGATAGATAAGCGACACATTGTGGGGACCTCCGCTCGGAGTGGGCTGGGGTAGATGCTGGGTGATGGTGGAACAGGTGGAGGTGACAACACTGGTGGGCAGTGCCCCGCGGTCACCTGACCCTCTACCCACAGTATTACTGCTGCAAGAAGGACGAATCCGAGGAGGACGAGGAGGAGCCCGACTTCGCCGTGCACTCACACCTGCCGCCCCTGCATTCCAACCGAAACCTTGTGTTGACCAACGGGCCTGCTCTCTACCCAGCTGCCACCACCTCTTTCAGCCAGAAGTCCCCACAGGCTCGTGCTCTCTGCCGCAGCTGCTCCCAGTACGAGCCACCCACCTTCTTCCTGCAGGAGCCCGAGGACGACGGCTTCGAGGGTGCGCGCAACGGTGGGGGCCGCGTGGCCTACAAAACCATCAGCCAGGAGGACGTGGATCTGCCCCCAGCGAGCTTCGGGGGCCTGCAGGCGCTCAACCCCAACCGCCTCTCTGCCATGCGTGAGGCCTTTTCCCGCAGCCGCAGCGTGAGCACCGACGTGTGACAGGCCTCCATATTGCCTAGGCATCCAGCCCCGGAAGGTCTTGAGATCATGGCAGGATCCCCATGGCATGCCCTGGCCCCATGCCCAGACCTCGGCTCAGCCAAGTCTTCCCTGTATCCCTGTCCTAGGGCCTCTAGGCATGGGGAACCCCCCGGGCCCTCTGCAAGGATAAAGCCTGATGAACCAGGTGTGGCAGCTGTGGGTAGGGACGGCTGGCACAAGAGGGGAAGCAGGGGTCAGGAGGGTAAGGTCAGGCTCTGTTGGGGCACAGGAGCCAGGTCCTGTTCCCAGGAAATGAGAAGATGGCTAATGTCCACCCCAGCAACTTGTCAGTCTCTGGCTTCATGGCCTTAGTCTGTCATTCCCTCACCAGGCCTTGGGCTTCCTACCTGCTCAAAGGAGCAGAGGTCTCACTGGTTGCCATGGCCCTACAAGCATGAACCTTCCATAGAGACAGTGGACCAAATAAATATTCTGTCCCTTCACCCAGTCTCCCCTTTCCCATCCTTCTCCCCACCCTCTATCCATTCCTTCTCCACACTTTGTCTCACACTGAACCTAGGTGCCAAGCATCTGCCCCAAGCTTGAAATACCCATTGCTCTGGCCTCCCTGAAGATGGACAAGTCTTCTTGTGGAAGGGAGAATTTAGGTGACAGCAGTGTCCTTGGGACACTTGTTCTACCCCGATCTGCTTTTCTGAGAGAAGAGGCATAGGCGAGGGGACATTACTCTGGGAGGGTTGACACCAAAATTTACACATCCTGTACTCATCCCTAAGCCCAGTCAACAGACAGACACACCCAGCACGGCTGCTGATGCACTGGAGATGGCCCAGCTATGCACTAGGGGTCTCAGGTGTGACTCTTGGGCAAGCCATCCCATCCATGAGCTTGAATCCTCATACATGTAGTGGCTGGAGGGGGTGGGGGCTGGCTGCAGAAAGCCCTTTGGACTCTGGTCCTCAGTGGGAACTGAGGTCCCTGGGGAGAGCCGAGCAATAGATCCACTTCTTGTTTTCTGCTTGGAATGAGGTCGCAGGCCCAGCCAGCTAGAGCTGGCTGCCCGTGTGTGGAAGCCTCATCTCTAGCCGTGCTGCTCCAAGCCCTCCACTGGATGAGGAATTGGTGTCAGGTGGCCACCCCTTGAAGGTGCCCCAAGCCCAGAACCCCAGCCATCAGGCACACAGTTCTCTGCTCTGACAGAGGCACCATTCTTGGCAGCAAAGCCTCAAGAGTCCCTTTCCCTTGGGGCCCTATTTCATCCCCAGGCCCTGTAGGGGAGCAAGTGCCCCCCTCCATGAAGGTGCCTTCCTATAGGACAGTGGCCACTCCTGAGCCAGGTACCACAGCAGGGCCCTCCACACTTACTACAGGCAGCTGAACCATGCTAGTGAGGATCTGCTGTCTTTGGCATTTGAATTTTTTTTTCTCCTTTTCCTTTTCCTGCCTTGGTTAGGTCTTGCTAAGGTCTAATCCACCCTTAGAATCACAGAAGTCCCCAAAATACCCCTTTCCTCTCCACTTCTTTGTCCCAGTCTACCCCATGGCATCTGTCCCTTGCATTACTTGGGGTATGGGTGAGGTAGGGAGGGGTGCTCTGGGCTGTTCTGTCTTTGTGTCCTATCCCTCCCCTCCTTTTTTCAACCTCCACCATCTCTGTATAGACCCATAGACATCTTCAAAGTGAATTAAGCATCCATCCCTACCAGCTCACTCAACACCACCATGGGACCTGCCAGGAACCCACCCAGCACCCTGAGAAAAAGCAAAAGCCAATAAATTTGTTTCCCACACCATGGCACTAGGCTGCTTGTCTGTCCATCCACTGGGCACCTTCAGGCACAGACCTTCTCTGGAACCAGAAGGAGTCCACCTTCCCAGCCCAGCTGGTGAGTTCCAGCCCTACCCAGGGGGGCTGAGAACAGCTCTCAGGCAAAGTGGGCATCATCACAAGCCACCTTTGTTTACCAGTGCCCCCAATGGCTTTCAAGATCGCTGTTAACCAACCTGAAGAGCAGATTGAACATGATGGGCTATGTTTCTTGAGGACAAGGGGCTGGGTGTCCCTGGGCTGGCATCCGCATAGTGGGGTGCTCACACTGCCCACCTCAAAAAGAGATGAAACCAGCCAGTGATGGTGACATGCACGACACAGCCTGGCACAGTCAGGTGCGCAATAAAGGCCAACAGAAAGGAGTGTGGGATGAGGCAGAGAGGGAGGAAGTCAGGAGGGGGAGGAGCCTGGAAGAGAGGTAATGATGGGACTCAGGTGTGGCAGAGGTCCCAGCCCCTGAGACACAAGGAAACTGCTCTGTCTGAGCCCAGTTGGTGACCTGATGCTCAGTCATCTTCCAGACCACTTCTGCATCTGGGGGACGGAAATAAAATCTCTAGGAGCAGCTACTTTGATTCAGTCCCTGTGGTACAGGCACAGAGAAGCAGTAATGCACTGGGGCTGTGTTGCTGCCTCAGTTCCCCCACACCCCAAAACCCTAAGCCCTTCAGGAACAGAGCTATATGGCAGACCTGTCGGGGCAGGCTGACCCCAAAGCACAGGAGACAGCCACCAGCCTCCCTACTACCTGGGCCCAGAGGACGACTCCAGGGTCTTGGGACTGACTAGCCATGACCATCTCAGACACAGACAGCCCTGTCCTCCCTGCCTCACTGGGGGCTGTGTGTGTGTGTGTGTGTGTGTGTGTGTGTGCGCGCACGCGCGCACGCGCGCGCGTGCATGTGCGTGTGCACTCGCGTGCATACGTATGCTGTTGTCTTTTCCACTCTCCTCCACTCAAGAAAAACCAGACTGAAGCAGCACCCAATAGCTGCCTTGTGTTTCTGAGGTTGGTCCTCAGAGAATGGTAGATGGCCTTACATGAAACCTGAGCCCACAGCTACGAGTGCTCATGGTGGCCATATCCTGTATCTTCTAGCCTTCCTGTTCCCACTGCTCCTCCAGGGTTCCTATAGCCCTGTGTTTCATCCTGGCCATAAGCCCCAGACCAAAGGCAGCTAAAGATGGCTGGAGATTCACACTAGCTTCTACCTCGACACTGTCCTGCTGCCCACAGTGCCTGTCCTTGTACACCACCTGCTCTTCTGGTTGCCTTTTGTCTGCTTTCTGTATCAGACTGCCCTGTTCCCACCCATCTCTGCACCCACTGTCCAGCAAAGGACCCCGTACAGCCTCACTGAAGCTCCCAAGGCTGACCACCATTTCTGCCCATAGTGAGTGAAACCCCAGCACGCCGCCATAAATACAGCCACTTTATTAACATGCACCAGTGAGTAGTGAGGAGGGTGGCAGGGACACCATGAGCAAAGGCTGTCCCTTCCATCCAGCACAAGAACTCCAGGAGGGGAGGCAGTGTGGCACTAATGCCTTAGGAAGGGGTACCTTCAATACTTCCAGAGACAGGGCAGCCTGGGCTCCTGAGCTGACCCAAGACCCCTCCTTGCCCAAGGCAGCCAAAGAAGGAAGACTCTCTCCTTCCTGGGTCATCTGCAAGTCACTTTGAGAGGGTTCTGCCACCTCAGAGAAGGGCCTGGAAATGGGCAGGTACTGCCCACTTTGGGTTCTGGACTCTGGGCCCTCTAGGGTGGGCACAGACACAGGATCCTGGGAGAGCATGGACAGCTTCCCGCAGCAGGGTGGCTCCATCAGAGAAGGGGCCTGTGGGCACTGGAGGCTCTCCCCCAAGGCAGAGACAGTGCCACAGTGTCAAAAATCCCTTCTTGTCTGTTGTGCTCTGTGTCACATCTTCACAGCCCAGGGTCTCCTGCAGGGTGGGTGTCCAATGAGAGCCCCGGGATGTGGTGCTCAGGTCTCGGTCGACGGCACCGGCTAGGAGTGGGGAGGCCTGCAGGAGCGACAGCAGGCTTTGCTGTAGTACCAGTGGCCACAGAGGTTCACTTTGATGGCCAGTGCGCAGTTGGTGCCCGGCTGGTCCTGGCAGCTGTCATCTGGGGATGGGACACAATGCAAAAGGAAGGATGAAATGCCAGGAGGCCCAAGGGGAACAGCTCCCAGGGTCCCCAACTCTTGCCACAGTATCTTCCCAAAGGCAGGGGCTCACGAAGGGCTCCCACAGTCACACTATGAACAGGTCAACAGATGAGCCCCCCCCCGCAGGTCCAGAGCACCCCACCTACTACAGATCTCCAGTTCTTTGTCCCAGCTAGCCCTTTCCTAATGCAAGTCCCTCTCCAGGAAAACATGGATCCCACTAGGTAGTTTGATCTGATCACTTCGGGGGTAAAACCCTAGGATTTGGAAGAGGTCCCCGAGCTCCTCTGAAAAGTCCAAACCCTTCCAGGGCCTGTGGGTCCCTCTATCCTTGCCTCAGTATTCCCAAAATAGAATTCACCTTCCCCTACATTTGGCATCCACTTTGGAGACTGGACCTTGTCTATTAGCCCAGGCCAGAGACCATGCCTAGCTCCTACCTCCCTGCCTCCTGAGAGTCAGCACCTGCTGCTCAGGCCAGGTCATCTTGGTCCCTGGTCTCACAGCTTCCCCCAACCACATTTTAGGTCAGTGCTTTTTCCAAGACTCTTTTTTATAGGTCTCTGCATGAATTCCCTAAGCCCCAGCTAGGCCCTCCCCCTTAGAGAAGACCTCTCCTGAAGACACGCCTGTGTGTCTCTGCAGCTGCTTCCCTTAACTAATGCCTGTTGGTCCTCCAGACCCTGGCTCTGCCCACAACTCCCACCAGTCTCTAACCTGTGCCCAGCCTCTTTCTTCTCACCTGGGGGCTCTGTGGGACATGGCTGCAGGTCACAGGCCTGTCTGCCGACAGGCTTCACCAGTGGGTCACATCCTCGGACAATGTCAGTTCCCTGATAACACTTCACATCTCGCATCCTCACACCTACCCCACACGTCTTGGTGCACTGATGTGGGACAGACAGACAGACAAACAGGTACATAACAAGGCTCTCCATAGTGACAGAGACTGGGACTCTCATCACTCATCACTCTCCTTCTGCACCATAACCATCCACAGGCTGGCCCAGGACACACCCGCTCCTTAGAATCTAGAGCCTGAGCTGGGGCTGAGCAGAGGTAACTGGAGGAAAGGCACTGTCTGGCTTCTCTACCTCAGTTTTCCCAACTTCACATGAGAGGGTGGCCCCTCCTGTGCCAGCTATGACCTGCTGGGTGCTCAGGTTCCATCTGTCCCAGATTAGTGACACAGAGAGTTTGCCATGGGCTAATCAATGTAACTTCCAGAGCCATCACACTGAGTCCAGATGTTCCCCTCAGAAAGCCTGCTGAGCTACCCAGAATACCAGGGACATCTGCTGACCCCAATTACCCTCCTATTCCCCTGCCAAGATCCTGCAGGCAGTGGTTCCCTGATGTGGTGACCCCACATCACCCAGGCATGCCTTGGACCTGAGGTATGGGGAGGCCACCGCCCCAGGCTCACCCTAGTCTGATTACCAGACACAGAGGAGCTGATGAAGGCTGGCATAAGGCCACCCGCCCGTTCACCCGCCCTGAGGAGAGGGGAGGCTGGCTTGGCACAGGCGACCAGAGGACACTCTGCCTTTGCAGATGCCCCTGAAGATAAGTAGGCTCCCAACAGGTCCTGGCACCTGCTCCTCTGTCCCTACAGGTGAATGGGACAGAACAATTGGATGAATAAACACTGAACTGATGCATCATGATGGGGCAACCATAAAGAAGGGCACTGCCCCAGCCAGGAGCAGAAAGGGCAGACTCCCACATGTCCACCATTCCTGTGTTCCCTCTGTTCCTGCTATCTCATCAGGGCAATATGGGAAGCACCCCTCCCTCATGGCTGCTTTGGGGATCCTCCTTAATCAAACTCCTCCTTTCTTATTGCCCAACATGGTCCTTGATTTACTAGGCTCTGGCCACACAGCTACCCTAAGACCAGTGTTCCAGCTAAGCTCAATCAGTTCATAGGGGATCTTCACTCCAGAGACCCTGTGTGTCTCTCTACTGCTTCCTCTAATGATATTTGCTGGTCCTCAAGCTCTGCCATGCACCCTCTAGGCAATCACAGTCCTGCTTCTTCCTTCTTACCTTCAAGGTGATGGGTATTGGTGGGTATCACAGTGTGTGTGTGTGTGCGTGTGCGTGTGCGTGTGCGTGTGCGTGTGTGTGTGTGTGTGTGTGTGTGTGTGTGTGTGTGTTATACAGAAGAACTCTGGAGTTCCTAAGCCCATGTTTGAGAAGGACAGCAGCTGGGGCCTCACCTCACAGAGCCCTTGGACTTTCAAGTCTTGAATTTATAACCCACCCATCCCAGCAGCTGAGCCCAGGAAGAACCTATGTGTTGGGGTTTTGGACACTAGAGAACGTCATAATGAAGACTCTGGACTCCAGGCCCCATCTGTCACTCCACTACTATTGCTAAACATTCAAAGTTGACCTATGTGGGAATCAAAACCATAGACAGCTTGAACCCTGTGTTACTCAGCTTCGCCACAGAAGTTCTGTCCTCAGCCTGCCCAGGGATGTTTAAAGATGGCTCTGGACTCCCCTTGTCCTTGCACAGGACAGATGTTGTTACTATGGGATGCTGTTGCTATGGGATGACATGGAGGAAGAAATGGCATATAGATGTTGATGTGAGTTAATAAAAGCTGACATCTAGGTGTGATTGCCTCTGTGGTGTTAGGAAGGCTCAGGACGCTGACAAGCCTCAAGGCATGGTATGACATCTCAGGCAGGGTGAAGAGCAGCTGAGGTGCAGTCACCTTGCTGTGCCAATCAGAGACTAGACAGGAAGTCCCTCCCACCCTGTGGGCAGGGGACTCTCCCATCCTTCTACTTACTGCTTCTCTGCCTGCCCATCACTTGCCTGTGAGTTGAGGCTACTCATACCTTAGGCTCCTTGGCCCGGACTCCTGGGATGGACTGGTTTGCACCTCCTTCCCTTTGCAGAGTCCTCGGCCCCATGTCTAACACACCTTAAACTCTGGCCCCAGGTTGGAAAACTCTCTCAACTTCAGTTTCTTCCTCTTGGTAAGTGACAATTGGAAAAGAGATCTGGGGACAAGTGCTGGACCACAGCTGCCCCCGGTGACCTCTATGGCGACAACAGATGAGGGCTCCATTCTTGCTTCAGAGATGAGAGCTCAGCTCTATCCTGCTTAGCATGGGAAGGATCCCGTAGAACTGAACAGGGGGTCAGGCTTGGGTCAGGACAACTTGCTGCTCTGCCCACTGACCTAGGGCTCACTTTCTGCCACTTGTATGCCCAAGTCTCATGCCTCTGTCTTAGCCATGCCTCAGACAATCTTACCCTCTGTATCCATCAGGTTTGGACTACCCTTTGGAGAGTATCAGGTACACTTGTTATCAAACACAACACTTAAAAGCCTCATCTTTAAGCCAGAAATGACCAGGCCCAGACAGGCCCACAAAAAGAGTTGCAGGACACCAGGGTAAGATCAGCAAAGGCTTCTGGGTAGTGGCAGCTCTCCACTAGTTGATCTAGAAGTATCTGGGGACAAGCACCCTGGCTGACTGAGGCTTGGAGGAAGGCTTGATGGACATGGGCCAAGATGGATGCTCTGTGGCAGGATCAGAGCTCAGGCCTCGTTTAAAGCAGCCTCAGGGAGTGTGGGGAGGGGGGGGGCTTGCTGGGTGCTCACCTCTGACCAGGGGCTGGTGTACCACTTGAAGCAAGGTCTTTCGAAGCACGTGCTCTCCTCAGGGGGCTTCCTGGATAACCCACACTCAGGGGCACTGCGCATCTGAGGCTTCCCATTGGCCAGCTCCATGCAGAGAACCAACCGCTTTTTCACACCACGTCCACAGGTAGTGTTGCACTGAGGAGCCAGACAGAATGGGTCAGTGGCCAGAAGCCCAGAGAACCAGAACCCTGACCACAGCACCCCTGGTGGCCAAGGTTTGGTTGATGATATTTGGGTAAAAGTGTAAACAGTTTCAACTGGGAGATTGGCTGACAACTCTTTGTTCGGTAACAGTTTGGCCCCATCCAGATTTGATCAAAAGCAATTAGGCCTCAAACCATCTGTTTTGAAACAAATTGGCTAATGTAATTTGGCCAAAGATGATCAGGCCAAAATCAATTCTGCAGAAAGCAATTTGGCCCAAGATTATTTAGTTAGCAGTGGCCCGCCTGAAACCATTGACTGAGAACAATTGTCTGAAATGGCAAGTTGGTGACAAGGGCAGGTTGGGACAGAAGACAAATGGATTGTGATAGCAAAAGTCATCACGGCCCTGTGGCCTGAAAGTGTGTGCAGTCTCTGGCTTTGTGTCCACCAGGACAGGGCCCAGTGAGAAGATACTGGGGACCCGCAGACACCCCTGTGGGAGGAGATGGGAAGTGGTTTACTACCTTTTTAGTTTTGTCCCAAATTAATTTTTAGTCAATTGTTCTTCATAGCTTGTCATGAGTTCTTCGTTGTGACCAGCCATCGGCACTCAGGCCAACTCTCCCCTGTCCCCTATGCGACCCAGAGAGAGGCTCTATGCAGGCTCCTGGGTACTCACCCGCTCCCAGTCTTGGGCCAGCCAGTGGGCTGGGCAGTTCTTGTCCCCACAGGGGTGAATGGCCAGAGGCTTCGTCTCCATCTGGCACTGAGACTCTGGGACCACCCGTCCATCGCTGGTCTTACAGTACACGTGCCTGATCGTACGGCCCTGCCCACAGCTTCCGCTGCACTGCGAGAGGGAACAAGGGCCAGTAAAATAACACGGGCCATTCCACCAGCCCCCGACCTGCATCATCCCCCAAGTAAGAGAAACAGCTCCCAGGGCAGTGTAAGGGAAGCAGTTTCCACAGTAACCACTTTTTAAATAACATTTCTGTTCTAATTACAGACATAACATGCTCAGTGCAAAACACGCACAGAGAAAAGCACAGCTCCAAAGGTCACCTGAGAGCCACCACCACCAGAGAGGACCTTACCAAGCATATGAGCAGCTCTGTTCAGGTGAGAGAGACAGATGGCGGAAAGACAGAGACAGGGAAAGGCATGCAGACAGAAAGAGACAAGGAGAGATGTCGTCAGGAGAGGTGGAAACAGAGGTTGTTAATGGGATGGTTATGTCCACTTTTGTTTCTGGACAGGGGTTTGAGTCCATAAAAGAGTGGAAGGGAGGTCTTTATACTTTTCTCCTCATGTCTTTATTACAGATAGATGAGAAAACTGATGCACAGCAAAGCAGCGTCCTCAGGGTCAGGGTCCTGTCCCTCGCCCCATGGCCCAAATCTGCCCTCACCGGTCCCCAGTCTGAGACGGTCCATTGGCGGTCACAGGGAGGCCCTGTGCAGTTCTTCTCTCCCACAGGCCTGGTGCTGGGGTCACACAGCTTCTCGTCCTCAGAACAACGGATGTCTCTGGTCACTACACTGCGTTCTCCACACTTGGCCGTGCACTGCGAGGAAGCCGGGGTGAGAAGCATCATGGCACATCTGTGCTCAAGCACAGGCCACCACCCCTGCATCTGCCGACTCTCACCTCCGACCACTCAGACATCTCCCACTGTGGCCCACAGGCCGGGTTGCGGCACGTCTTGCGCTCCTCGGGCCGTACGGCCTCTGTGGCTTCGCACAGGTCACTGTACACGGAGCTGTCAAAGCCAGGGGACAGCATCTTCCAGCAGCGCACGATGCGGAACTGATGGCCCTCACCACAGGTGCGTGAGCACTCGCTCCAGCTGCTGGTCTCCCACCTGCCTCGGGAGCGAGGACAGCCCTCAGTGGCCCCAAATCACACAGGCCAAACCAGACTGGAAGGAGGTGAGACCAACCAGTGGGGACTGTGCCCATGGTAACCCTGTGTTAGGTAGCCCTAAGCAGAGTGTTGGGTGAGTGCTCTGTAAGTGCCCACGGCCTTCAGGGACCTGGCTACCTTCACCTACCCTCACCTCCAGGCCTTCTTCCTTTGTCCTTTCTGTCTGTTCCCATTCCTTCTGCACCTGCCACCCTCCATACTCCAGTGTCCCAGAGCCCCAGGCCTTACTTTCCCTGTTGGGTCACACAGGGGACTGTGGCCCCTTCTGGACTCTGATTCTTCAGGGACAACAGTGAGAGTGAACCAAAGGTGTGAGTCCAGCTGTATACCCAGAGAAGGGCATCGCCAGTGTGCAGGATGACCACCCATCTCCACCCTGTGCTGTGTGGGGTTATAAAAGACTGGGTTCCTCCATGCAGGCCCTCTGAGAAGACATACTTGGAGAAGAATCTAAGTCAAGTGCAGGCCAGCTCTGTGGCCTTTTCCTCCAGAAAAGAACAAATGCTTAGATGTAGCAGCCGGAAGAAAAGAAGGAATGTGACATGTTGGGGAGCCAGAAATACATGGCTCCTTGGAAGCGACACCAAGGCTCTGCTTCTGCCTTGAAGACAAGATAAGAGACACGTGGGCTAGAAAGATGGGGTTCCCTTCACCTCCCAGGGAGTAATCTTCCCTAGCTTACAGAAATCCTAGCTTTGCAGGTCAGCCCAGGCACAAAGATAGCCCTCTAGTATAGAGTACTATGGAAAACCCCCTGTGATGGAAAGTGTCTAGTGACCGTTCCGCATGCTCTGCTCTGCTCCCCACACAGCCCCTCAGCTCACAGCAGAGGCAAAGCAGAGCCCTAGTGTGAGCATGGGTGTGTACACACACACACACACACACACACACACACGCTCATTCTGAAACCCAGCTGGGTGCTCAAGGACAGGTACCTGGGCTGGCACTCCCTCCCAGCGCAGAATTCGTGGACAGGCTCAGGACGGGTCAGGGCATCACAGTAGCTGTCATCCACCTCAACACCATCATAGCGAACACACATGGCATATGTGGACATGACTCCTAGGTTTGGGGCAATGCAAGGGTCTGTAAACTGTGTGGTTAACAGTAAGAACCTTGGATACCAGCAGATGGGTGAGCCTTGTGAGCTTGGATGGGTCACATGACAACTCAGAGATCTGTTTCTTGGATTGGGGATGGTAAAAGCCTAGAGTTGGAGGTGGGAAAGCTCTGTGGGTCAGAGTCTCAGGATCTGAACTATGACCTCTTTCTCTGCCCAGCCTAGGCATCTAGCTCACCTGCCACAAACCTCGATGAGCCTTACAGAGGCAGAATAAGTACAGCCAGGTACCCTGGTGTGCATTTGTCTGACAAACCCCACTGTAGGAGATGAGCAGGCAGGCAGGCAGAAAAAACAAACCAGCCAGGCAGTGGTGGCTCACACCTTTAGTCCCAGCACTCGGGAGGCAGAGGCAGGTGGATCTTTGAGTTCGAGGCCAGCCTGGTTTACAGAGAGAGTTCCAGGACAGCCCGGGCTACACAGAGAAACTCTGTCTCAAAAAAAAAAAAAAAAAGAAGAAGAAGAAAAGAAAGAAAGAAAGAAAGAAAGAAAGAAAGAAAGAAAGAAAGAAAGAAAGAAAGAAAGAGAGAGAAAGAGAAAAGGAAAGAAAGAGAAAAAGAAAAGAAAAAAACAAACCATTGCAGTCCTTGACAGCCCTGTCCCCAGATATCAGATTAGGTGCCCCAGCTTTTACTAAAGGTCTCCTAACTAGCACCTCTATGTCTTTAACTATCTGTGTGGCTTTTTCTGGAATTCCTGAATTCTAAAATCACTTGTGGATAGGGAGGGATACACACATAAAAGACCAGCCTTCTCCTAACCATATGGATTCCCAGGCTACACCACCTCTCCTTTTTCCCTGGACCTAAAAGAGCAAGCCTGCATGTGGGCTTTCTAAAGCGTGAGCATCCCCTGCCCCACAGCAAAGTATGCCAGGATTGTGCTTAGCTGGGGAAAGCCAATGTGGAGCTGTATGTGGAAGAGCCTCCTGAGGTTTTCAGTGTATGTACCTTCCCAGGAGTATCTGAGACCCAGCAGCCTTTGCTGCTCCAAAACCCAGCCCTGGACAGAACCATGAGTCTGGGAAGAAACCGTGTGTGTGTGTGTGTGTGTGTGTGTGTGTGTGTGTGTGTGTGTGTGTGTGTGTGTTTCCATGAGAGCCAAGCCAGGCAGCAATTACTAGTTCCTCCCCTGCCAGCACTGGGCTGTGTATCCTTCAGCCTGCTGGAGGAGGAGACAGCTGCCTGGCCAGGTCTACTTGAAAGATTTCAGGCCTCAGAGACACTACTAACTCTGGGACCCAGGGATATACAAACAGGGCTGGGGACTTGTGCAGTTGCCCTAAGTACCTGGTTATGCATTGGCTTGTTATCATGGAATGGAAACACACAGAAGAGAATCCAAGTCTCATCTAGCAAGGCCAGCAGACTCATCACAGCCCCAGATTGCTCATCTCCAGAATGGGAATTTTCCAGAAAGGTTACAAGATCAAAATATCACTTTTCTGGGCACCTTGTCCTTATACCTATCTTGAGTAGGGAGCTTCTCAAAACTTCTTAACCTCAGAGCCCGTGCCTTGCGCTAAAGTGAACTTTGCACTCTGATTTATGAAACAGACAAGACCAGATGTCCATCCTCAGTAATGGTCCTACCAACTACCTTGATCCTGGGATGTTTTGCTATGCCCTGGTAGACTGAGAGACAGTCCAGAAACCATACCCCAAGTCTCAAGACCACTTGACAGTATTGTTGTTCCAGAAGAACAAACTTAAGGTCCTTACCATGGTTGGGGGTTCAGGGTACAGAGAAGGCAGGCCCCATAACCTAGCATAGCCTCAAGAACAGATCTCAGCATGAAGGAAGAGGGAGAGAAGTGGGTGCACCCACGATTCTCTACAGAACATCTGCAGACATTGTGTGCATCCACAGCTGGCAAAACCCACATACTGTGGCCTGCCTTCTTCAGCATGGTTGCACTTGTGCACATCAAATTTAAGCCCTGGCAACAGTAGGGCTTTCCAAACAACTAATGAGGTTCTGTCAGAAGGGGCCGAGGCAGTGAATTGTCCATAGTATGGGCCCTTCTCTGTCCTTTTTGCTGGTGCCACTCAATTGGCTCAGTGCCTCCAGAGGTGACAGGAGCCTCTCTACTTCTGACATCTTTGTCTAAGGCAGAGGTCACCCCTTCCCTAGTATCCCTATTTCCTCTCTTCCTGTGTCCTGCTCTGCACTGTGGGCAGCACGGAACAGCCCTGCTCCCTGGCCTGGCCACTGTCTAAGTGTTGAAAGACAATAGTGTCATGCTCTCCCTGGAGACATCATCTAGCAGGCTCATTCATCAGGCCCCTTGCCACCAAGGCTGCCTCAACCTGGAAACATCTCAAGTGATGTCACCTCCCCAGCCTCCAGAAAGTTTCCACTGTCACAACACATGGGAAGTTCCACAGCCAGGATGGCTAGAAGGATCCATAGTATGCCCACACCCAGCTTCAACAGGCTCTGAGAAGCTGGGGCCACAGCACCTGCCATAAAGTTTGGTCCTGACAGTCCATCCTATGAAAGGCATGACACAGGACTCATTGATCTGTTGGAGCCAGTGGACCGGCTGCTCCCGGGTTAGGGCTAGCTTCAGCCTTGCCTTGGAACCCCATAGTAGCAATGGTGCTCACTGGCTGAATTTAGACCAGGCAAGTGGTTTCTTCTCATTTATTCCACAAACACCGTGGCCACAGTACATCCCATTTTACAGGTAAAAATCAGTAGTACTTTGCTGTGAGCCTGGGATATGATACAGTAGGCACTATGGTTTAAATGTAACCCCACCTCAAATTGTTCGTTAGCTTCCAAATTGTTAGGTACAGGTCAGCATTGTGTGTTTGGGGGCAGGGCAAGCATGAGCAGACCCTCAAAGCTGAAGGTCCCCATCTTTACTCTGAAGAGCTCCTCTCCTGAGATATCAGAGAATAATTAGGGCTGACAGATGGGCCCGTACCTGACTGTCATCCTGAATGCCATGGGAACAAGGATGCTTTGGGGACCCTCCAACTCCTGCCATCCCGCCCTACCTCCCAAGTGAAGAAGCCAGGCAAGTTCCCTGGGGGTGTCTTGGGGCAGCAAGTGTATGGGTGAGTCTCCAGCTAAGGCCCAGTCACTGCAAAGGTAGGCTCAGAGAAGGTGGCCCAGTGGTCCCAGGCTCATTACCTGTGGTACATGTGGCACTGCAGGGCTCATGGGATGAGAGCTTCCACCTGTACATGTCAGCTGGGCTCACGCCTTGCTTGCGTGCCTTGGGTCTGGTCCTGAAACAAGGTCAGAGAGTGTGGTGAGCTAGATGCTTAAAGGCTTCATTCTCAGACAGATGGATCTCCCTCTGAGGCTACACTAGCCTTAAAAACACACCTTCCTGGGCTTCAGCCAGTACCCTCTATGAAGACCAGGGCTCCCACCCTCTGGAACAAAAAAAAAAAAAAAAAATGAGATACACATGTTGACACTGAGCAGACATGGGCATTTCCCTTCTCAGGAACTGGACAGACTGTGTGGAGGCATTCTGTTCTTTCAGAGGTTCACTGAACAATGAGGGACTCACCAACATTGCAACTGCTCCTTCAACACTCACAGGCTTCTCACTACACCTCTCATCGGTCAGCAGAGTCCTTCTTCCCACCCCGTAGGGACTGAGATGTTCCAGAATTTTCCCCAGCTGCCTCTCTCAGCTGGGGTTCTGATGAATGGGGACACCGGCCATTCAGCTTCCAATTTTCAAACTCACAAAGGCCAGCTGCAGGAGGAAGAGTGGCCTAGCCCCACACTGCAGCTCAGGTCCAGTGATGGCGGCACAAGCCAGCTGACGGGAAGAGGCACGCTGGGGGCCGGCCAGCCAACAGCTATGATTCTTGGCCAGAACTCTGGTGGCCACAGCCAAGTATTGTTAGGACTGTTAGCTTCTTTGAACTAGCCTCAACACCCCCTGTGCAGGCTATTTGGGACTCGGCGGGGGGAGGAAGCGGCTGCTACAGCATTACCTCCACCCAGGGTGTCTGCTCCAAGACCTAGTCGCTCAAGAACACAGCCCCTGAGTCTCATGCCCCCCAAAGCAAGAAGAGCAGTTGAAGGACCAGCCCCATCGATAGCAGCTCCCTCGGGCCACATAGTCCAACTCCACCTTCCTTGGAACTAAGAGGAGCTAGCTAAGGGCTGTGCACTGACGCCTTTCACAGGACTTAAATGGACCAGTTTCTTTCCTGGGGACTATAGTCACTGGAGTATTGTGGGTGTTATAGGCCATTACATTCTAAAAGCCATTCTGTGTTGGAGACATCTGTCGGGACTGCTAGTCAAGGGGGTGAGATTGCGCCTGTGTTTTGCTCCGATTGGCTCATGTTTCCCAAGAGGGTGCTTTGGGGATGAGCGCTGCCCTGATAGCACGTCATGCTCTGAGAACCCAGGAAATGGTCTGCCAATGGGAGCCTCACTGTTGTGATTCTGTGAATTCTCAAAATGAGAGGGTGCCTGCAGAAAGAGGGAGGCAGGGGCATGGGCCACCTCTTCTGGGGCTCAGACCAACCCTTGAGTCAGGCTTTATGCAGGGGAAGCTCTGTCCTCTCTGGTTACAAACAAAACTTTAACATGGAGGGAGGGCATCCAAGACCCTTCATCTCAAAGCAAAGGATCCTGGACCTGAGTTCCCAGTGGGACCCAATTAGAGCACCAACCGAGGGTGGGTCAAACCTCTCAGCGAGGAAGAACTAGGGAGAAGAAACAGTCCCTAAGGCTTGACCCAGACAACACCGGAGCAGTCTGGGCCCCCCACACTGCTTTCAGCAGCCTTAAATTCCTTCCAAGAACAAAAAGAGAGGAGAAGATGCACTTGGTGTAGAAGGCCCTCCATCTTTATATAATTACACACTTCCCAGCCGCAGCCCGCATGACTCATCCCTGAGTCAAGAGCTAGCCGCCAGGTTCAAAATAACCCTTTGGATTTTAAGCCCTAAAGGTATTTCTGGAGGGACTGTCTACACCCACTCTCTAGCACGTGTGGGGTGCTGGGTGCCGCCTGAATCGCAGTGCAGCACCTGGACCGTGCACCAAGAAGCACCACACCCTGGAAACCATCACCACCCCAATCTGGAAGGGCCCTGACCTCAGCAGTGATGGTTTCCAAGATACCGGTGACCACCGCTTTTGGGTTTTTGCCCAGTGCCTGGCGGGACACAGGCTCCTGAAATCCCCAGAGAGCAGAAGCTCTGAAATGACTGTTTGTTTATAAGTGAACCAGAAATTCTCTTCCTACCCCGCTCCAGGCTTCAGAGAGGGATGTGTGCCTCTGCATCCCAGACGCCTGTTCCCGAAAAGTCTGGTGACAGCCCCTCCCGGGATTGTTTGAAGCCTTTCTAGAAGATGAAAATAGCCCTTCCTTTCTGGGCTGCCCCTTTGATTTCACCCGCTCCCAGAGCAGACTCGACTTCCTGTGTTTGGACAACATGCCGAGACGTGGCTATTTCGGCTTGGTAGCTTCCCCCATGGCCTCTCTCAGCCCATTATCTCCCCAGACCATCTTTGGTCCCCACCAGCAGCATCCTTTGATGGCAGCTGGTTGGGCATCTCACTGAGCTGCGCTTTTCCGAGTGCTGACAACCTGTTTTAATGACTGGCTCTGGGAATCCAGCATGTCCCACGGGGCTAAGGGGACAGAATAAGAAGAGACAGGCACTTTCAAATGTGGCTTAGGGATTATGGACCATGGGCACTCCAGTGGGACCCGCTTAGAGCACCTACTCAGAGTAATCCAAACCTCTCATGGGGGAAAAAACAGTCCCTAAGGCTTGACCCAGACAACATTGAGATTCCTGATTGGGCCCAACCCTGCCCTCAACAGCTTGTGTGTGACTTTGGCCTGTGAGGCATTGCATTGCTGAGCCTCCAGGCCTCTGACAGACAGAGAAGCTGAGGCCTGGAAAAGAATGGAGATGTATCCAGCTCCCATGGAGTGGCCTGCTCTTTCACTATTCCACACAACCACCACCCACATAGCCCATATCACAGCCGAATAAAGGACAGGGACTTTGAGCTACCTGATAAACCTACATAGAGCACTGATTTGCTGTCACCACTTGGGCTGTGGGTTTCCTGGGAGGTCTCTCCCCAAGCCTTGGATGCTCAGTGACTAACTAGGAGCATCCATACCTAGGGTCTTTGTTGTGCATTATATATATATATATATATATATATATATATATATATATATATATATATATATATAAATCCTTGTTGTCCCAAAGGAAGATACAAAGAGAGCCGGCAGCCCAGAGAGACTGGCTGGGTCACAAAGCAGGTACTTTCTGAATCAGAACTGCCCTGCCCATCACCACTGCCTGTGACTTCTCTCAGTCTCTGATCCTGTGCCCCCAGGGTAAAGCCTGTCATTCATTGCCAGCCACTGGCTCCCCAAAACTAGGCAGAGAGCTCTAGAAGCTCTGATGGTGCCGAGGTCAGGGTAAGTGGCCAGCCCAGAATCCCATCTAGCCAGAGCTCATCAGCAGGGTCCCAGCCTTTGGAAATAAGGCTTCAGAAGGCAGTGTGAGAGAAGAGGCAACACTGTAGCTTCCAGCTTTACTACTCTCAAACCCTAGAAAAGTGGAAGAGGTGACCTAAACCCTGTCACCTTAAGAGTAACTGTCAAATCTTCCACCAAACTCCAACCTCAGCCTCCCTTGATCCGGATAGAGTTCATCTCAAGATTTCGAGTGGGTTCCCAGAAAACAAAACAAAAGCCAGTGGGCTGGTTCCCATCTTCAGTCTTCATCCACCACCAGTGGCTAACATTCTAATCCCAGCTGTTTACACGAGCCCTGCTGCACACCCAGGCACCTGAGAAACAGCGTTAGTAACTAGAGAGGTTCTCTAGCTCTGGTATGAAAGGGTCAGCTGCTCCCAAATAACACTAGCCCAGGAGGATGAGACCTCAGGGTGCTCTATCCCAGCCCCAGCTGTCCAGGCACCCCCAGGCTCGCCTCTTTGTGGATCTCTAGCTTCACTCTCCAAGCAGGTGTCCCCAGCTGTGATTCTATAGGCCTCCCTAGCCATAGCTGCTGTTGCCTGTGGTGCTGGCTTCCTGCATAGGCCCACTACGCTAGCAGCCTATTCCTAACTTTGATTCGGGGTCTCCTTGTCGGGGGGAGGGGGAACCCCAGGTTCTCTTATCATCTTCTGATTGGTTGGGGTGAAGGCTGCTGTCGAGGCTCCACATTCACCTGAGGGGCTACAGACAGAGCCCATCTTGTGCCTGCTAGCCATGTTTCAATGGCTGTCCAGACATAGAACCCAGGACCCCAAATCCTTAGGCTCTGTGCACTCAGCATGGTTTCCCCTTCTGAGTTCCCAGGAGCCTAACACTAAGGGTAATTGTGATCACTCCCTGATCTATGCATACAAAAGAGTGATCCATCCCAGCATAGGGAGGCTGTTAGCGGCATACCTCCAGCATTCTTCAACTCATGGTCAGCACCACGAGTTGAAGCAATCATAGCTGGGACACTTAGACCCATGAAACTACCTTTCAAAAAGACATGCTACAGTCTTTTCTGTAACTCATATCAGATTCACAGGGTCGTTGAAAGTATGGCTCTCTCCCACTTACCTCCAGGTCCCTGGACCTTCTGGCAGACCCCTGTAATGGCCCCTACTCCATAGGGAACTAAGACAGGGCAAGGAGAAGTGTCTCTTACCTAGCCTTGTGAGTCCTGTTCCCAGCCAAGGTGGGGAGGCTGGCGCTGGTGTTGGGGAATGGGGCTTCAGAGGAGGTGGTGTTGATCCTGTCACTGCTCAGCTCCAGGTAAGACCCGTTGACCAAGTAGGCAGCAGGCCCCTCGTTCTCCTCATAATCAACATAGAGGCTCTCAGCTGGGGAGCTTCTTGAGGCACCCTGGGCAAAGATGCTGTTCATGGTCTCATTGAGAGAGAACTCTTCGGAGTCTGAGCCCGTGCCCAAGAGCTGATCAGAGATGGCGTTGGCTGAGAGAAGCTCCTGGGAGGTGAAACGCGCATCAACCTCCCGGTCATCCTTGTCCCCTGAGAGGGCTATCCCAGTGGCATTGCGGTCTGCGGAGAGACAGGTGTTTCAACATGCATGGATGCTACTGTGTTGATCTTTGTTGCCCCTCCTCCTCTATTCCTGTGTGTGACAGGTGAGTTAAATAATGGGGATGACTTCTTGGGGCAGGGAAAAAGTAGGTACTCCCAGGTTCTACTCCATCAGACACAGTGGGCCAGTATCATCAAGCGATAGGAAACCCAATGGCCCCGGCAGACAGCTGGGCATCATCCCCAGGGCCCAGGCTCAGCTGGAAGTTCAGCCTAAGATCTAGTTTGGAAAAAGGATATTTATAGGCTCATGAAATAATATAACCGGAATTTAGTGTGAGCCCTAAATTTATGACTAGTGCCTGCCTAAGAAGAGAGAACACAGACACATAAACCTCAAGAAGCCCAGCACAGGAGAGAGGCATATATGAACCTACACACCTGAGGCCATCAGCAACATCCATGTCCTGGGGCCCAGGGCTATCCAAGTGAGCCATGGAAGTGCCCTTGACTTCCAGTTCCACTGGATGGAAGAGTTGACAAGTTATCTCCTCTCTAAGCCCATCTCTTCTGTCTGACTCAGAAAACCATATATGGTTTGCCCTCTGCAGATGTTGGGTCTACATCCTAAGAATCAGACCGTGAAGGATCAAAATATTTTGAAAAAAAGAATTGCATACTGGCTGGGTCTGGTGGTGCACAACTTTAATCCCAGCACTGGGGAGGCAGAGGCAGATGGATCTCTGTGAATTTGAGACCAGCCTGGTCTACATAGCACATTCCATCGAGATTCTGTTTCCAGGAGGAGAAGGAAGGGGAGGAGCAGGGAGGAGGAGGAAAAAGAATTACATCTATGTTAAGCCAATTTTGACAGTTAATGTTGTTGTCAATTGACGGGATCTAGAGACACCAAGGAGATAGGCTTCTGCACTTGTCTATAAGGAATTATCTAGATTAGGCTGATTGAGGAAGGAAGACCCACCAGAACTGTGGGCAGCACCATCCCGTGTAAAAGGAGACAGTGAACACCAGCTTCCATCTCTCTCTGCTTCCTGACTGCGGATGCAATGTGAGCAGCTGCCTCACGCTCTGCCGTCATGGTGGACTGTATCTCCTGGAATTGTGAGCTGGAATAAAACCTTCCTTCCTGATGTTGCTTTCATCAGCCATTTTGTCACAGCCACAAGACGAATGACTAATCCACTGATGGATAGGTCCTGTCACGTGTCACCTTGCCATGACTTAGTGTCATCACTACCCACAGCACACACACACACACACTGCATCTAGTACTGTGGGTCAGCTGTGGTGATCGCAGGTACCTGGAGGAGAGCTTGGGTTCCACGCAAACACACCACTGTATACAAGGATTTAAGAAGCTGAGAATTTTGCGTCCAAGAGGAGTCTATCATCAATCTGCAGATCCTGAGCTATGACTGTATACCTCAGACTTCACACTGTGCCTGCCCAGAGAGAATGTGCAAGCATCTGGCAATTCTCTTTAGCCTCTTCTGTAGACTTCAAAGGGGACCAGCACTCCTGACTTGAGGCCTCTGTACCTGGGGAACCCTGGCCTTTCCCATATCCACTATTCCTCTTTCTCACCTTGGAAGCCCTTGCCCCTAGGGGGTCCCTCACAGACCCCACCGCTGGCTCTCTCGCACACCTCGTTGGTCTCCTGGCCTCTGCTGGGACCCCGCTCGACTTCAGGGGCTGGAGGCTGAAAGAGCTGGTTGTTCAGGCCCAGCCTCTCCGAGGAGGCTTGGTGGTAGAGGGAGCCATTATGCTGCATGAAGCCCAGCAGCCTGGCACTGTCCAGCTCCTGGCCCTCGGTGCTCTCTGTGCTCTCGGAGGCGGGCTCGGAGAAGCTGTAATAGACAGGCTGCAGGTGGTGCATGTGTGGTGGCTGGAGCAACGTGTACTCAAAGGTGATGGAAGGGCTTTTGCCATTCTGGTTCCACACCTGGGGAAGGAGAAGAAGTGAGACCTGGCTCCTTTCCTAGCCCCTACCTAGCACCAAGCGCCTCTTGAGACAAAAGCAGCCCTAGTCACAGCCGAGTCTTTCCCAGGGAATCACACTTGATCCAAGAATGCGGCCTCATTCAAATGTCCTAGGGCAGCTGTGCCCAGAGATTGTGAATGAGGCACACCAAAAGGGTCAGAGGGCAGGTCCCCTTGAGAACAGGGAATAGGGGACATACTGGGACATACTGCATGTTACTGCCATCACAAGCCAGAAATCCAAATAGCACTGGTGTTGCTGCATCTAACCAGGACTCCTAGGATAGCTGATGAGGTACTAAAATCCAGACCATGCGTCCATCCAGGACAGCATTGAAGGATCAGCTGGTCATGGAGCTCTTGGGGGATAGTCAAGTCCTCTGCAAAGACCACAAGCCAGTGTGACCTCTCCCCTAGGCAGATTTCAAAGCCTTTGATCTGGAGGCCGGCAGGAGTGGATTTGGCAGTGGGACTGGCTGCTCCCGGGGCCACAGCTCTGAATCACTAGTGTTGGAGCTCAAGCACTGCCTGGCTGCAGCACGCAGCACACCAGGGCCCTGGAAGGGTGGCACCGAGCAAACCACGGAAAGCTAAGCAGTGCCAAGATAAGCCATTGCAGGATGCCAGGGGAAGAATGGCCACCACTGGGATGACATCTCAAGGGTGCCTGGGGACAGGAGCAGGGACTGTGGAAGGCACACCATTGGAGCAAGATGACAAAGAGAGCCAGCATCGTTTCAAGCTAACCAGATGGCTGCAGGTGTGGTCAAGAAACTCTGATGCCTAAAGCTTCAGGGTAGAAAGGAGGAATCCAGGTCAACTTCTCACCCTGCTGGGTCTGCTGCACCAGACAGAGTCAGGCTGGGTCAGTAGGACCCCACCGCAAAGAGAGATCTGGGTCAAGATGCTTTAAATGGTGAAATCTCAATTGCCCTGAATGCTCTGGGACTGGGAAGGGACTGCTCTTCCCTCAGCAGTTAATGCTGTCTTAGGAGAGATGGTGTGAAAAGCTTCCCTTCCTAACCTTGTCTTTCCTCTGGACCTTGCCTGGTCTCTCCCGAGCACCAGACCAAAGGGTCTGGTAAAGTCACCTCCTTCACCCACCAGGGAAGTCCTAGAGAATAGACTGTTCCTCCTGGGCCTTCAGGACCAGCACAACCCTCTAGTATTCTTACCCTCTGGAATAACACGCTGGCCTGTTAACAGGGAGGGTAGAGTGAGTGAGGCCCACACAGTGCAGATGCGAGAGGAGAGATTCGAGGGCAGGCAATTCCCTGGGTGACCACTTCTCCTAGAAAGCCCAGAACATTCTGCTCACTCAGGGGTGGCCAAGTGATGCCAATGTCATTTAGAGGGACAGTGTGGGACACTCTCACATGACAGGGCTGATGGCAAGATGTGGTGGCAGGCTCTGGACTCCCCCAGCAGCTGTAGGTATGAGAAGGCCCTGAACAGTGACAGAGGCCGGATGGATGGCTCGGTAGGTAAGTATACTTGCTGTGCGAGCATGAGGTCATGAGTCAAAACCCCCAACACCCATGTGAGAGCCTGGCACTTCTGTAACACCACCACTGAAGAACAGAGAGAGGCAGACTCCTGGAGCTCACTCGCCACCCAGCCTAATGGAAGGAATGAGCTTCAGGCTCAGTGAGAACCTGTCTGAAGAGAATGTGACGGATGAAGAAGGCACCTGTAGTCTTCCTGTGGCCTTCCAATGCATTCACGTCCCCCTTCTTCTATCTCTGTCTCTGTCTCTGTCTCTCTCTCTCTCTCTGTCTCTCTCTCTCTCTCTCTCTCTCTCTCTCTCTCTCTCTCTCTCTCACACACACACACACACACACACACACACACACACACACACACCAACCACAAGGCAGATTCAGTATCTCAGTGGCAGTCAGTAAGAGTGACAAGACACCGAGACATAGCTAACAGAAGACAGAACACCGCACACACACCTTGGGAATGGACAAATGGGCTAAAAAAAAAAAAAAGACCCTTCTTAATTGGCACTGGCCAAGTTAGAGGAGGAGGCAGAAGTAGCTGTCCGGGCAAGGTTATGACCCTTGCCTCCATTTCTTGAACCAGTTTCTAGACTCAGAAACTGAGTCTAGAACAAGGGAGGGACCCACAGTTCTCCCCTAAAAAGCCGACAGCTGCCTGCTCACTCAGCTGTTGCCTGGAGAGAAGGCTGGACGTTCTGGAGGCAGGTCTGAGTTATCACTGCTGACTGTGGGCCCTAACCACCATGGATTGATGTCCTCACTGCAAACATTTGGATGGGTAATGACCAGAGGGGTGGCCTAGGTCTGGCTGGTAGTGTGTCTATTGGGTCCCTCATTCCCAAGTGTGTAAGTGATGATCACAGCCCTCTATTGACGGTGCTAAGTGCACACACTGACATATGCAAGCGAGCAAATCTGAGATACCATTGCTTCCTGGGGTACCATAGATGTCAGCGCCATGCATCATGACCTCAAGGACAAACGAGTAGGAAACACAGCCTACATTCAGTCCCATCGCTCATGTTGCCCTGACAGTACTAAAATGACTTCAGTGATCCATCATCAGGGTAGAACTGAGTGCTGTAAGCTCAATCAGGCAGTTACCCTTACTGAGCCTTGTGACAGGTGTGGTGACTTTTCTAGAGCAAATTAACATGGCCTTAGGTTGAGCATATTTGGCCCAGATGTGGTAAATAGTCTCCTTCTATTCCTCCAAGAGCAGTTTCTGTCTACTTGGGCGAATCATAGTAAATGTACACAGCTGTGATCCGGTCACCGTGTAATAAAACAGCAGGACCATTCTCTAGGATGTTGTGCTGGTACTACAGCTTGCAGCCTCTACCATGAGCAGGAATTCTTGGAATGACTCATTCCATATCCAGTAACATCAGTCTAGTCTACACAGCAGGTAACTTAAAATGTTGCCGATGCTTTGTGGAACACAGCAGAGAAGGTTCTGTGCAGACCTAGCTGGGGTGCACACAGCCTGCCCCTGGGCAGTAGTAGCAGCGGAGATGCCTGGGTGGGTGGGCTGTGGAAAGATGTCATGGAATTTCTGCATGTCCCAGAGATGTCTCCAGCACAAACAAGGAAGCAGACAAGTGGACCCTGCCCAGGCAGACCTGCCTTCAATAGTCTGCAACTTATAGGTGAGTAACTACACAAACCCCTCCAGGTTCTGCACCTACAATGTGAGGCTATAGAGCTCACTATGGTGGGATCTAGAAGTCCAGAAGACAACTAGCAGGTCTCAGAGAATGCCAGAACTGCTCATTGTGATGGCCCTGATTTCAGGGACAATCAATCATTCTGTGTATCCATGGATCTGGGGTGAGAAGCTACAGTAGCTTTCATTTCCTGATGCTAGCTGTGTAAAAACACTAGCCACAGAACAGGTCCCAACCCTGCCCTGCCAGCTGCTCACAGCACTGAGAATCCAGGGGAGGAAGGAGTCACAAGCTATGAAAACATAGCAGTACCTTTGGAGGCAGTATGGACCTAAGGAACATAAAGACCCATCTGAAACACGGCCAGTGGGTCCAGCCACCTCTCCTTAGCTTCCCATGAGGTTCCCAGTGGTCACAGAATGGGCTGACACAGAACAGTGGTACTGACTGAATGAATGAATGAAAAGATGAATGAGAGAGAGGAAGCACGTGAATGGATAGATGAATTAATGAATCAATGGGAAATGAAGTTAATGAACTAAACCTGAGTGAATAAATGAATGAGAAAGTGACCAGTGAATAGATGAATGAACAAGCCCTCCCCAACCCCCCCACACACACACTACCACCACCCCAGAATACAACAATACTGCTGTGTGTTCAGGGCCCTCAAGCCCCAACCTGTAGCTGGATTCTGGGAAGCCAGTGCCCACAACCCTTACTGTCCCCAAAGCCTGTGGCACACGCACCATGACATTCAAGCCCTGGTTGGTGGGTCCCTGTGCCACAATGTACTCAATGCCAGTCTCATAGACATCCATGGGCCGGCGGTACTTGACCACTGTACCAGCAATGTTGAAGTTCTTGGGGCTGTCCACCTTGTAGTTGCCATTGAAGAAGTAGAAGCCAGCTTCATCTGCGAGAGCTGAAAGAGTAAAAATCACTGAGTCACACGGGCTAGACAGGCTGAGCAGAAAGGAGAGAGACACAGGGAGGCGCCAGCATGCAGGTTCCAAGAATGGTGGCCAGCCTTGCCTTCCCTCTCCAAAATGACCCAAAGACAGGAAATTCAATGTCACAGAGAATCAGACAGACACTGTGCCTGAGGCCAGCATGTGACCCTGGCCAGTGAGGGCCTAGGAGACACAAACACACTTTCCTATCAGTCTAAAACAAACAACCACAGGCCAGTCTGGGTGGTTGGAAGAGCCAACAGGGAAGGCTGGCCCTGCCCTTCTGGCTGCCTCAGATGGGCCAAAGGGATTGCAAGGTAATGAGCTAGCGCCATAGCCAAGTGGCCAGTCTGGACCAGGAGGGTCTGTAGCCGTGAACAACAGGTACCAGCCAGATACTAGACTAGACAGAACAACCTGACATGACCCTGGTTGTGGTACCAGCTCCAATTTCCCCAACTGAGGAAGGGGCCTCAGTGCCTCATCCCAGGCCCACAGTGAGTGACACTGTAGCCTGGCTTGGCTGGTGTGGAGTGCTGTCCAGAAGGGTTTTCCTGGGACCACCCTAAGATGACCAGCTCTGTCCTCCTTATTAGAAACAATGGCATTGAGTCGTCTGACTTCACTGTTACCCAATTAATCTGTCCATCCTGCTGGGCTTAACACCTACTGGGGACCCAATCAGGCAAGAGCAGAGTCTGGACACATCTATCACCATTTCCCTTGGGCAGGTATGACTGGATACTTTGAGGACTTGGCTGGAGGCAATTGAAAGCCAGGATCAGAAAGGAATATGCCCATGGCACCCCAACAGCCCATCTCACAGCTGCCCAGGGCCAAACACCAGCCTGGAAGCTGGCCTTTCCGGAAGCTATGGGGACTAAGCAAAGGTCCTCTGAGCCTCCAGGGCTGGGGAAGAAAGGGAGGAGGCAGTCTCAGCACTGGGGGACATTCTGTCTTCCAGAGGGTGTCCTTAAAGCCGGTTCCAGGAACTGGCCCGCCAGAGGAGCGAGTGCCGTTTCCAAAGGCCCTGATGCAATCCAAGCAGAGGAGCCGGGGCAATTAATTTATTATCAGACAGACGCAACAAGCAGGACGTGTCTGAAAAATACCCTTAACGTAATAACGTCAGAACATAGCGTCAAGTCCAAGTCCGGCTGGGGCCTGGTTGTCCCGGCTCAGCTTCCAGCTCTGCGCCCAGGGCTCAGCTCAAGGCCCACATCCAAAACCTGTTTCCTGACAGCGAGGACCTTCCTTCCTGCGGCTTTCCCAGCCCTTGGTATTTCCAGTGTCTGCTTCAAGAATGAGAGCTTTGCAGCCAGCTCAGAGAACACAACGTCTCCCGGCCTCCCTGTAGCCCTAGTAAGCTAGCAGACAGCAGAGCCACCGGCCTGGCTGGAGGCCCGGCTCTCCATGCTCAATCCACAGATGTCCCCAGCAGTGTAGGCCTGGGGCCAGCCATGTGCAAACTTGCTGGGATTGGGCCTTCAAATGCTCTGTGAGCCTGGCAGGGGACAGGAGAGTCTGGTGCTGGGCTCAAACTGAGGATCTCCAGTACACACCCTCCTCTTTTCTACATCCCTAGAGCAGAGCTCTGACATGCTCAACAGCCTGAGGTGTGGGATGGGAAGTCAGCTGGGCAATGGGACATGGTATCAAGACTGAGTTCATTTTGGAGAGCTGCTCCTTAACCTAGCCTAGGCCCTGGGTCTGTCTCACACAGGGCAGAGCCCAGGGCAGAATGACCCATAGGTATTGGTACCTGCCCATATGGAGCTTCCACCACCAGATCATGTCAGCTCTCCAGCTTCACATTCTACCCATCCAAAGACTGTCATCAAGATGGGGCCTCACCACTGGGTAATATCTCCAGGATGTCCAAGGTAGCCATTTCTACTCTAGAGTGACACCTCCTGCAGGAATCTGGACATGGTCAGCATGGCATCACAGACCTGTGACCAAATCCTTCCTCAGCAGCTCATGACCTTGGACTTGCCACCCACCTCTCAGCTCTGTGACCCATCCTTGAATAGACCCTACCTCTGGCTCCCTGGATTCTGCCTGGGCCGGGTTCTCTAGTGATGGGGAGCTCACTACCCGATGTCAAACCCTGTCTCTTGTTCAGCACCTCTAAGGACAGGGAGTGAAGTCAGCATCCTCCTCCTCCTCAACAGTTAGGTACACCTCTAGCTTCCACAGCTGTGCCCTGTCACCTGGCCTATTCCACTTCTCAAAATATAGATCAAAGTTCAGGTGCCCTTCTCCATCCATACACACACCCCCAGTTCCACCTACGTACCCAGCACGTCTGCTGACTTCTTCCTCTCCACAATCTGGATGTCTCGGGCACCAGCTGGGATATGGGTCACCAAAGAGTAACCTGGGGAATAGGAACATCTGTGAGCAAAGCCAGGGAAGGCAGGACACAGAAGGGACTGCCATTTGTCTCCTGAAAAGTCACTCCTGGGTGTCAGTGCCATCTCTGAGCTCCAGATAGGTAAGGGGCACCTGCCTAGAGGTTGTCCCAGATGTCGGTGTGTGATTTCACCTAGTCCTGTTGAATGGCTCATGTTGTCCAGGAAGCTGACCCTCTTCCAGGGCCCTTGCCCAGGTACATACACCCTTTCCCATCAAGAACATTGGCCTGCCCCAGGCCCCCACAAGGGACACAGTGGACTACAGGGACTTTAAACATGCTGAAGTCCACAGATTTAGGTCATGTCCTGCTTTATCACCTGAGAGACCTTGGGGTCTCAGTTTTCTCATCTAGTCCAGAAACATCAATACCAGCACTATGTTGACACATGTTATTCTCAAATTCCATCTTATCAGAACATCTTGCTGATGGCCAAGGCTTGACGCCTCCACACAAAGAGCGGATGGTTGACTCTTCAAATAGAAGCTGACCACCCTACGAGGGCCACTGTCTACATGCCTGAACTGTGAGAGGTACTGCCTGTCATTTCAGACCCCATCACCCAGGCCTTGGTATAGTGGGGAGATAGCCACAGACAATTCCAAACACAACAGGGAGCAGGAATTGGGGCAGGGGGGAAAAAGAGCCACTAGCTGCTAGTGGAGAGGGCTCTGGCAGGAAAGAGTGAATAATAACAGAGTCATCTCCTAGGAAAAGAGAGGGGTCTCAGGAGAGGGTTTGGTAGAGTTGGTGTTTCTGTCCTGAATTCTCTGTAGAAGGCAGCAGGTTCCACACTCAAGCCATCGATGGCCAGATGTCCCTGCCTCGGCCCTGACCCCGCCCTCACCTTACAGGTCCTTGAAGAGCCTGCCCTGACTGTGTCTCGCATTGGGCTCCTTGAGAAGCAGGGGGAGGGGCTCTGATCTGTAGCACTGAGCTATTTATGTGGTTCACACTGCCCCATTGCAGCTGACGGAGGGCAAATTGTCCATGTGGTTGGTGTTTCTGGGCAGAAAGCAGGGAAGAGGTTCATGATAGCATGGCCTTAAGACGAAATACTGATTGAGGCTTCAAGACTGGGAAGTGGTCCCTTTGCTGAGACATGCTCTCCCTGTGTGAAACCCTGGCTGGTCTAGAATTTGCTATGTAGATCAAGGTGGCTTCAAACTCACAGAGATCCTCCTGCCTCTGCCTCCCAAGCGCTAGGATTGAAGGCGTGCACCACCACAGCCGGCTTTAATTTTCAAACTAGCAAGTGGTTCACAAAACTCCTTGATCTCGACTCCCATGAGCTTCCGGATACGACCTGATCTTGAGCATGGTTAGGGAGCACAGATCTTTCCGGGCAGATATGTCGCTCTGCAGCTAGGACCCAGGGCCTGCTGCCCAGGTTGAGACCCAAGGCCTTAGAAGCTCAGGTCACCTTAACCCTCTGCTCTCTCTGCAGCTTTGGGCAACAGTAGCAGCCACTGCCGTAATAGCAACGTCCCCAGATGTGGATGAGTTAATGCTGGCCAGACCTGGCTCTGTGCCTGGTTGGGAAACACTCATCAGAATTAGAGGGATTGTCTCACTTCGGCCTCAGCCTGCCCAGAGGGGGCATCACCAAGAGCCCAGGCCCTGTCTGGTGGGCCTTGCTATAGCATGTGGCATCTGACATGAGCTGAGTGCTCTAAAGGAGAGGCACTGCCTGACCTCTGACCTCTGACCCCTGACTCTAGCTCCACCTTGAATCCAGGGGCAAGTTGTGCAGGCAGTTGTGTTTACGAAGGGAGGGACAAGCAAACAGACCAGCTTTGCCTCACCCCACCTTTGGCAGGCCTCCAAAGAAAGAGCCTCTGCCCACCACACGAGAGAGACACAGCATGCAGATTCTACACACAAGCAGCTGCTGTGCCCACCCCTCCTTGTCAGTCTCCTCCCTAGACCCTACGTCAGTGCTTCATTCTCGGTGGCTTCCTGCAGGGACTCTTTGAGCCCACACTGATTCTGTGATCGCCTCTCCTGTGAGGGCAAGCAAGATTTCTCGGCTTTCTGGGCCCTCCGGTGGTCTCAGTAGGACTCCCTTGCCTCCCTAGGAGAACTGGAGCCTTCAAATCCCACGCTGGGCCTCGGTTTCCCCATCTGCTGAGTGGATTTCAAGTTGCCCTCCCTTCCTCTATAATAACTTAGTTTGACTCCACACACAGTTCTTGGGACACAGCAATGCATTTGGTTGAGCATTGGCTGTCACGAGTGATGTATGAAGGTCTGTCTCATGCCCGGATCCCAAACACGAGGGTCAGGCCAGTGCCAGACGCAAACACAAGGTCATTAAACACAGCACTAGAGAGGGGAGTCTCAGGATGAGCCCAGAATCCAGCATATCCAGAGTCAAGTCTCACACATTCTAAGACTCATGTCTCAGTTTCCCCATTCAGCCCTCCCTGAAGACTGCCTCAAAGGCCAAATGTGATCCCCATGCTGTGTCCTCTGGTGTGCAGATGATGTGAAGGGCCCCTTTTTATTGCCAGTAGGAAGGAGTCTTACACCTCTGCCTGGGCCTGGGAGGAGAACGAGAGGACCCATGATAGGAAGCAGCAGATCCTGGACACCTACCTGGCAGGTGAGATGGAGGGACACGACCACCCAGCCACACCCGCCCTTACCAAGATGATTGTTGCCCTTTCGGTAGTTTCCTGTCACGTGGGTGCAGCTGCTCCCGTCCCCCTGGCAGACGCCGCACTTGTCCAGTGTGTGGGTGGAGAAGAGCACTCCGTCACAGCCAATGGGCTGCAAGAAGCAAGGAGAGAGGCTGCTGAGGCGCTGAGGCTGGCACAGGGGCACCACTGCCTCTGGCAGGCAGGTGGCCAGCACAGTGAGAACGGCTATACTTTTGGTACAATGTTTAACAACCTCACATTTTCCAGACACGCAAACCCCTCTCAGGTCAGTGAGCTTGCAGGAAGTGCCATCGCGGGCGGGCACCATGAGCTGCCTCTGGCCATCCACAGTGGTACAGTGCAGATCGCATGGCTTACTGGAGATGTGGACGTAGTCATCTGGGGGATGAGGCGGAGAGTCTCAGGGGAGAGGGTGCTGGATTCACCCCCTTCCTCCTACTGACATAGCACCCTTCCCATTACAAAAATGGGGAAACTGAGGCTTGAAAAGAAGGGACCTGCCAAAGTGTTGGTAGCAGAAATGAAGTGAGCCCAGTCCAAGCTCTGAGTTCCAAATTCTGCCTCCTTGTGAGAGGGCATCACACCTGAGATCCACAGAAGGGTCTCCTGTGGCAGGGGGACTGGACACCTCAGCATTTCCACAGGGTGGAGGAAGAATGATAGCTCCTTTACACTGTGCCTAAACAATCTGTTTCTTCTCCCATGGGGAGAGGGGGGTGAGAACGGTGGGCACGGAATAGCAAGCATGACCCCAGTCCCATGAGACCTTGGCCAGTCCCCATTTGGGGTTGTCTGGGCTGGTTCCTGTCTAAGCCCTGGAGACAGTGGGAGAGTCCTGATCTCAGAGGGCAGCCCTGCAGGAAACTCAGCTCTATAATCTGTTACCGGTGATGTCATGGGTCATGGGGGAGGGAGGGAACAGACCTCCAGGCCCCATTCTAGAGAAGTGGGATCTGCTCCAACCTCTGTAGATGACCACCACAGCCTTCAGCAAGACCTGGCTCTAAGCCTTAGTTTCCCCACGTGCCCACCCGTAGAGCTTATTCCTGAGGCTCAGGTACCCGGGTAGAGAGGCTTCCATTGGTATGCCCGGCCATCATACACACGGGAGTTGAAGGAGACACACTGCTCTTCACGGAAGCTCCTCCCATCCGGTGGACACTCCTGGAAGAAGAAGGCGCAGAAGCTCCAGGAGGAGCTGAGCAGGAAGTGGCTACAACCAGATGACCCTTGGGGGCCGTAGTCCATGTTGCCCCTGCTCCCAGCCTCCATTCCCCTCACTTTCAACTACTCAGAAGGGCCAGTGACTATTCCTCCAATACTGCTGGGTATCAGCCTTCCTAATACCCTGGATATCACCCTGAACTTTTCAGCCATACTGTGGAATAGATGGGACACTGCTGGCCCTGCCCACACCCCCATCCTCTGGCAGACCCTGTCAGCATGTGCATACCTGCACATGTGTACACACGTGTGCACTAAGTGCCTGCAACTAATCCAGTGCACTTGATAGCTACGTATAGGGACTGAATCAGAAGGAGGGGGCTCTAAGAAGAACCTTGGGGCTACAGGAGGCAATTGCCCACGGTGGAGCTGGAGTCCAAGCTAGGTTAGTGTCTGCCTCCTTCAGGAGCTCCCGAATGTCCACCAAACCCTGACTCCATGACTGGCCTTGGCAGCTAACTTCCCTTCAGCTCTCACACCCCACATGGGCACTCACAAAGACAGACTTCCAACAGCTCAGCTGGACAAGCCAAGTAAGACTGGCAGAGCTGGCACCTCCACCACCACACCCTGGTGGCTCTTGGATAGGCAGCCAGGTTTCAGACAGACTTTGGTCCCACAGAGAGTGCTCCTCGGAGCCCCGGGCAGAATCAATGCCTCCTCCCAAGCCTCTGCCACCTTGGTGTCCAGCCAAGGCTAATGAAACAGTGCACACAGGCACACCTAAGAGCTGAGGCGAGAGGCCTGGGGTAGCTGCCCAGCAAGACTGCTTCATAGGTGGGAAGAAGGGATAGCTGTTGTGGCTTCCTGGTGTGCAAATGTCCAAGGCAGATTGGACTGTGGTGGGAAACCCCAGCTTCTGAAGCTGCACTTAGATTTCCAGGATCAGGTGGGAATCCAAGCCAACCTACCACATCCAACATGCAGGGAACAGAACAAGCAACATCTGAGGCATGAAGGGCTCAGTGTGAGCCTGGGCATCAGCCAGCTTACGCGGGACTCTCCCTGAGAGGATAGTGTCAGCAACAGGATGTCCGAGGTCTAGGGGCAAGACCAAGACCTCGGAGCTTTGGGCATCTGGCCTCACCTGCATTCTGCAGAGCTGGTACCGTTTGGACGTGCCCACACAGGTCCTGTTCCCTGCTCCTGGAACAGACTTCCTCCTGGTGGGAAAACGTGATACCAAGCCAGGGTTGGAGTGACAGCTATGGGTCCTGACACCTGTTCTGTCATGCATGTATTAACTTCTAGTAGCTTCCCAGACTCCTAGGATAGCATCTGATTCTCCTCTATATTCCCAGCACCAGCAACAGAGCTGTGCTGTTCAGAACTGTACTGAGTAACAATCATGTTTGCTGAGGCCTGTGCTAACATGCAAACACATGTGGTATCATGTATGCCCAGAAACATGAGCTGGCTTCATCATGCTTTCCCCAATGATGCCACAGATGAGGAAATTGATGCTCAGAGATTAAGTGCCCTGCCCAAGGTCACACAGCTTAGAAGTAGCAGAGACAAGACTCAAACCCAGGTTCCTCTGAGAGCAAAGGCTCTTAATAACTTTCCTGTGCTCTTCCCTGCTTCTGTAGCTCATGCTTCAGAAGACAAGGGGGAGGTCTCAGTGACAGAGCCCTAAACAACAGACTTTGCTTTCTGACACTCCCTCTCTGGCACCCCAGAACACTGTTGCCAAGGATCTCTCAGAAGCCCCATGCCCAGTGGAAGTCAATGGGAAGAGGAGACCGCATACATCAGATGCAAGCCCGGAAGAAAAGCCACCAAGCCATGGACCAGGCTGCCCCTGCCCACTCACCCTTGGGGGTTTCAACAAACTCACCTCTGTTGCAGGCAGTGGCGCTCCTGGGATGTCACCCCGCCCCCACAGCTTCGGGAGCAGGCTGTCCACTTGGTCCACTCCCCCCACCAGTAGGCAGTGGCATCAGCACCCCCCTCCAGGCTGTTGGATGTGGGGCTGTTGTCCTGGGTGAAAAGCCCCCCAATAGTGAGCAGAAGGCTCAATCACAACACAGGAGAACCTGCACCCCAAACACCACAGGGTGTCACTGGCAGCTGAGGGGGGAAGAGGATGATGCATCCTCCTAAAGCGCTGCTGGCTGGGTCTCTCAGAAACCTGCGTTCAAGTCTCTCAGATGGCCTGAAGAGAACTCCACTGGTGACCACATGTGCCCCATGTCTTAAGGGCTGAGCATCTTGAGATTTGGCGAGTGCCTGAAACGTGTGTTAACCTACCATGCTTTCTCCCTCACACCCCACACTACACCAGCATCTGCAGGCTCACCCCACACATAACTCCCATCTATATGCTTGACTCTAGACCCTTACTGGAAAGAGAAATACCAGACATACCTCACTCTCTAGCTAGCTGGTCAGGGACTACAGGATGGTCAGTTTCCCAGATCGGGGACTAGTCTAAATGGCTCTCTGAGCAAGTTTCTGGAGCCTAAGGGAACACCGAGACCCCTGGGCATGGCATATGCCCACTCTTACTACACAATCCTCCAAAGTCAGCCCACTTGAGAGTGAGCCCAACACCTGGCTGAGAAGCTGGGGTTGGGGGGCGCGGGCACTGAACAGTCCTACTCACCGAGGCCTCAGTAGATGCCGTACCCCCAGCCACAACTGCCATGGCCAGCAAAGACCAAGCCCAGTGTGAATTTTGCCATCTGCCGTCCATCCTATGAAGCAAGACCACCGTCACTACCAGATCAGGCCCTGCTGTGGAGAAAAACTCTCAGGGTCCTCCCAGTGCCCCAAGTGGTAAGGTTATCTGGGATCCTATGTTAGTGGCTGCCATCTGAGAGAGACTGAGCCATCCATCTGGGCTCAGCAAGCAGCTTGGTAAGTGATTACAGATGTCTGCCAGGCCTAGGCACAAAGGGGTGGTATGAGTGCCAAGTCTGAGCCACCCTTCATCTGAGATCTTCTGCCAAGCTTTGCCCCTGGAGAACGGCTGTGAAGAACAGAGACGGACGGCCTAGGAGGTTGGAGGCCCAGCCTGGTAGAGAGCTCATTATGAAGAGGGATAGCAACCAGGCTCAGCCCACTGCCTTGTCCAGGGCACCTTGGGAGTTTTACCTGCTTAACATTGGCAGGCCAACTTGAGCGAATGGCCACCCCGTAGAGTTCATGAGCTGTAAAAGGAGAGTCCTCCCTTTCCTCCCTGCCTTCACTTGTCCCCCGCCCAGTGGTCCTCAGGAAATGGCAGCCTCCCCTTATCAGAGGCACATCCTCATAACTAAGTATTCAGCAATCTGGTCCTCAGGTGGGGGCACAAATCGGGAGTCTGGGCCCTGCTCTCCAGAGAGAACATGGAATTGCAGGAGGTGCAGTAGGAGGTGCAGACCCGGGGCCCCTGTTCCTGACTCCTTCCCAACAGGCTAGCACCTGAAGCCCAAACACCCACCAAGGGTTAAGGTGAAGTGAATGAGGGAGAGCTTCCAGCTCTGCTGCTTCAACTCTCAGAACTGCTCCCCTGAGTCTCAGCATAAACCTTGTCTTAGAAAGGGAGCTAAGGGCCTCTAGCTAGCGTTTATCTCAGGTGGGTGTCATCAGCCAGTGAGTTAGACAATGGGCTTCAGGAAACACCAAGCCCAGAGAGAAAAGTCAACTTGCCCAAAGCCACACAGCAAGGCAGCTTACTGTCCTCACACCCCACAGCAAACTTAGGGGCCCAGTCCAGCACCCAATAATTCCAGGGGAGGAAAGTCTGGAGATTGTCTGCACCCTTGAAACACTGACACCAACTTCTCCCTCTCTCTCTCTCTCTCTCTCTCTCTCTCTCTCTCTCTCTCTCTCTCTCTCTTTCTCTCTCTCTCTCTCCCTCCCTCTCTCTCTCTCTTCCTCCCTCCCTTCCTCCCTTCCTCCCTTCCTCCTTTTCTCCCTCCCTCTTTCCTCCCTTCTCTTCATCCCTCCCTCCCAAAGCACCTGCAGGTGTGTGGGAGCTAAGCCAGCAACACCCTTACACCCAGACGCACCCAGACAGACTATGCAATGATACTGTAAATCCTGACATGTGGAGCTTCATCCTTGAGACCCCTGCATCCCACCAGCGGTCCACCATCTCCCCTATCCCATCTGCCTGCTCCTCCCCTGCAGGTCTCCATCTACATCACCATTTTTACTCCAGCACAGAGCCCCCATCCCACACTGTCCCATTGGCCTCCATGGTTCCCCAGTCCCTGCCGCCTGCCCGCCAAAGACAGGTGCCCAGTCAGCCTCACACTTGGTTTTCATTAAGGATCCTAGACACTGCTGGATTCCAGCCAAGTTCAGCTCAAACAGGATCCATCTCTCCCTAGGGTCCAAAACCTTCAATAGGCCCACAGCAGGGGTTTGCATCACAGACAGCAACTGCTAGTACCAAGGCTGTAGCCAGCCTCGGGGCCACCCAGCCGCAGTGTGGTGCAGGTTGCTCCCCCTTCCCCTAGGGTCGAATACCCTCCCCAGGGGCTAGGATATCCCCCAGCCCCATTCTGAATAGCTGTCTGGCCTGGAGTGGGCTGCATCTCACACCTCCCAGAGAGCACAGCATGAGCCGGGACAAGTATGTGGTGGCCTACCTCACCCAGGGTCAGCAGGTTGTCCTCCCAGAGAAAGGGGTGAGAGCTAGCTGCCAGGTGCACCGCGCAGGCAGATGAGGGCAGAGATGTGCGGGCTCTGCCTGTCTCTCGTCCTGCTTCCCCGGCTGCCTCCCTCTCCCACTTCAAAGAGCATTCAAGGGAGGGGGTTCCCAGGAGGGGCGCTCAGCCCAGTGGCTGCTCTGTGGCCGCAGCTGCCTTTATAGCTGTCAGGCAGACGGGGAGGAACTCACACTTCCCACCGCTGCTCCCCCGCCCAGCCTGCTGGCGGCTGGCCGGGCGCACACTTTAACCCGCTCTGCGCCTCTGGAGCACGGCCAGGCTGTCCAGCTGCCTGCTGGCTGCTGCCGCCACAGTCCAGAAGCAGTGAGTGAGCCTGAGACTGGCTTCCCTGGGTCTGGAGTGACTGACCCTAGTGGAGAAACTAGCCTGAGGTCACGTGGAGGGACATTGGCAGGAGTGGAGCAGAGCCCCCTGCCCCACCCATCTAACTTCAGCTTCCATAGGAGGCTGGGAACCATGTGCTGTCCAGGCTGCCAACTCCTGTTCACCTGGAGGCACGGAGGTCTGGAGGTTGTGTGTGTCCAGGCCACCCCCCATCCTTGGAAAACAGATCTGAACAACTGAGGATCTGGGGGGGCATCCGAGATAAACCAACCAATGGCTCCAGGGAGAGGAAGGGGCGGCTACAGCCTGCTGACCAGATGCCTAGGAGGATCAGGTTGAGGGTAGGCATGGGGTATTCTGCAGATGTTTGGTATCAGTCTGGCTGGATCCCACACCAGCTGGGCAGCTACTGGCAAGCAAGCTGGACTCCAGGGTTCTGGTCCTGCTGAGCTGGAGCTGAAGGGTGTACAGCTTCAGTCCTACCTGTGGATTCTAGCAGACTTGGAATGATGGGATGTCTGCTCTGACATATCTGGCCCTCCAGAGCACTCCATCCTGGAAAACAGGCACCTTCAAAGGGCAAATGATACTGAAATATCTCATAAGATGGCTGAGCCATTTCAGTCATGCTCCTGCCTCCACAATGTAGGGACTGGAAGTCCTTTCTCCCCCTCTCCCTTCTCTCTCCTTCCCTCTGTGCTGGATGGTGAACTTCTTCAGCTGCCTCTTTGGGCTGCTAAGCATTGTACCCTGTGGACATACTGTGTTTGACCACCAGACAGAGTCCAGAAACAAAGCAATCAATGGTAACAACAAACACCCAGCCTTGTAAGGCTTGTGTTAGGTAACAAGCATCTTCGTTATCTGTACTTTACAGATGAGAAACTGAGGCTGGGAAATGGAATGACCTGCCTAAGGCCACACATCAAAGTTGGGACAAATATAGGTTGCAGTACTTCTCTGTCACACACCCTCTCTTTCTGCCTGGTTCTTCAAAGTTGCTGGCTGGCTCTTCCAACTTAGACCCTAATGGGGGCCAAGCAATCAGGTCTTACTCTCTGTATGTTCTGTGGCAGCTGACCTTAGGGTGTTCAGTTTCTGCTCTTTGGTACCCTGACCTCCCCTGACCCTTACCCAGGCCCACACTGCCCCCTGGGGCCAGTGAGTTGAAGCACAGACATTCTGTTACCTGCCATAAAGCGCACACACGTGAATGCACGTGTACACAGGATCTCACAGACACAGATCAGATCTCTCTTATTCTGGAAGCCTCTACCACTATTCTCCTCCATTCTGGCTGACTATTAGGCCCTGCACACCCTGGAACAGAACCAAGCTCTTCTGGCACTTCTGGCTCCACACGCCCCAGTGCCAGGGTGACTAACAGTTTCCCTTGGGAGGGACCCCACAGCCAACTGACACAACCATCCAGCATCTTCCCTTGGCCTGGCAATTCACAGGCCATAGCCTGGCCACCTGGAAGACAGACCCATGGGGCCAGTATCCCGCTGCCTTTGTGACCTCCACCAGGGTGTGACCCTCTAGACCCTGGATCCCTGCATTAGCTGTGCCTTCATGTCCCTACACCTGACTCTTTGGAGCTTCTAGATTCAAGACTCTATGGCAGCCATAACATAACTGTCTGGTCCACAATGGGCTGAGGATTTCAGAGACAGAAACAGATGCAAAGCGCCACCCCCACCCCCAAGCTCTTCCTCCACACAAGGATGGCTGCTGCTCTCTCTCCTCAGTGGGTTCCCTCACACAGTTAAGTGGCTACTTAACTGTCAAATGCCCTGAGCCAAAGAAGTACAGCGTTAAACAAGTGATAAAAATGTCATGATGTGCCAGGAGAGATGCACTGAGGAGGAGACAGTCTTGTCCTGCTTTCTGAATGAGGACATTTTGCTCTGAGTCCCATAAATAATCTGTCCATGTAGTCCAGGGAGCCACTGTATCCATGTTCTCGATTCCACCTACCAAGTTTCTGGGGCCTGAGGTAGCCCAGAGTCACGAAAGGAGCCAGTGGCTCCAGACCACTGGTCTGGCTCCTGTCCGACTGCCTCAAGGCCCTGCCTCATCACTCTTCCCCACATGCTGAGACCCTCAACGTGCTCCTCCAAGGCTTCTTGTTCTGGAGAGCTCCCCGCAAGAACTCACAACTTTATTTGGCTGGAATGGCTTCTCTGACTTGAGGCTGGGACTCCCTCTGAGGTGTAGCTAGCTCAAAGCTGAAGGAAGGACAGTCTTGAGTCACTGCCCCTCCACCCACTGCAGGCTGCCCAAGAAGAGGGCTGCAGACTCCGGGGTGACAAGAAGGTGAGAATGTCCTGGGCTAGACCACCACACAGACTTCTGGGTTCCCCACCTATCTCATCTAGGAATACTGGCTTTTCTGCGAAGTCTACACATGAAGTTCAAGTTGAGGAACCCCAGGCCTGTGGCTAGGGAAGACTCCTCAGGCTACTGTGGTCTGAGATTCCACAAGAAGAGGGCTTCCTTTCTCTCCAAATCTAAGCAAGGACAGGGTTAGAAGTCCTAAGGTGGCTGGAAGTGAGCTGCTGCTGGCACTCCCCAAACAGAAAGCTGAGGAGCTGGACACCCAGGCCAATGCTAGCCAGGGAATTTTGGTACTGCTCCTTCACTGCTCCTGGGGCATCACAGCTTGCCTGCGCTTGGTCTGTACACAGCAGCAAAAGCCAGGGACATCCCAGGGGACCAGCAAATCCAGGAGAAGGTCTCCTGCCCAAGGGACCCATGGGCATCCCAACCAACTTCTCTACCACTAGCCTGTATCTTCTAATCCAGGGATTGAGAGAAGTATACTAAAGAATGATTAAAAAGTTTCATCAGGCCTTCTTGGGTAGTTAGGGCTTTTTTTTTTTTTTTTTTTTTTTTTTTTTTGGTTTTTCGAGACAGGGTTTCTCTGTGTAGCTTTGCGCCTTTCCTGGAACTCACTTGGTAGCCCAGGCTGGCCTCGAACTCACAGAGATCCGCCTGGCTCTGCCTCCCGAGTGCTGTAGTTAGGGTTTTTGAGGTCGAAACGTGAATGGTTGAAAGGGTTTTGGGAATAGCTTTTTCAAGCCAGATTACATCTAGAAGCTTGAGTGCTATATTAAAACCTAGAGTTAGATTTTTTTTGGGGGGGTAGGGAAGATTTGCACAGTTATGAGCAAGTTCCTGGGTCCACAGAAAAACCTGGCGTGTGGCTGTCTCCTCTGGCCACATACAGTGAATGCCCTTTGCCAGATAGTCTGGGGGTTAGGTAACAGCAGGGAATCCGGAGTTGAAACCCAGCTCTGCTCCAACACCCAGCTCCAGAAGGTAGCCAGGGTCTTCCCAGGGTGAGAACCCACCAATGTATGGAGCAGATCACACAATTCTTACTAGGGGGCTGGCCTGCCCTGAGCCCCGTGGCCTTACGCAGTTGCCAGCAGAAGTTCATGGGGACATAAAGCAGCTGAGGTCTCCATGCTAGGAATGGCAGGCCTTTACATGACCTTCTGGTGCGTTAAGGGGCCACAGTGTCCTGAGGTACTCGTACTTGTGACAGCTGCCAATCACAGTCCCTGTGCTGCACACAGACCGAGCCCCAAATGGCTGCCTAGGCACAGACCTCAAAGACAGAATTAGAGAGACTTGAAGCTTGTTCCTTTCCTCCAGGTAACTTCCGTAGACCCCAGACAGGAACAAGGCCTCTGTGCTCTGGGGTGACCCACTCCTGTGGGCCGGGTGTTCAAAGTTTGGAGGAGGCCAGTATAGCAGCTGGCACAGCACTCCTGGGCTGGGCAGACAGACAGCTGTCCTGAAGGCTGAGAGCTCAGCATTCCATGCATGTCAGCACCTCTATAAAACCCAGCCACTCCCTCAGCTGAGGGGCTAGGGAAGGGGGGACCAACTGGTCAGCCCTCACTCCAGGCTTTATGGCCTAAAGGCTGACCCTTACATGGTCCCACTGGGACCATGCCACCTGCTGGGCAGAGAGGGGATGCCACCTGGGACCCTTGGGCACTGAAGCCAGGACATGCCAAGAGTCCACTGGGCCCACTCATGAACCAAGACATGAAGGCAACAACTCTGGCCTCTCCGGCCTCACAGGACAAAGGAAAAGAAGTGACAAGACCAGGCAGCCTGATATGGCTGGGTAACATTGAGTGAGACCTTGTTCTTTCCTGGGTCTCAGTCTTCTCCTTGTAAAAATGGAGAAGGCAGAGGTTTGCACTTACTGGGTGCCAGAAGACCCCTGAGGCACAGCATGAAGACCTGTCTGCATATGGCTAGCTCTGGACAAACCCTGAATGTATGTGTGATTTTCAAGACCTATGTGCACATGCAGTGGCGTGGGGAAACAGCCACACTCTGAACCAGGCTGTGTCTTGAAGGACACTCATGGTTTGGAGGCACAGCTGTTGGGGTCTGCTGGGTGGAAGCACAGAGCGAGCAGGTAGGGGCCTGGCAGGTGGGGGCTTCAAGGTGGGAAGGACCAGGGTAGCTAGCTCCTCTATCTGTTGGTCTTGAACCTGCCCAGGCGGACCCTTGACCCTTTCCCTGTGTCTCCAGGGGAACACCTTCTCCCAGAGCAGCGTCCTGTCCGTTCCACGCTGCTTACCTCAACCCCAGCCCCCAGGCAAATAACTTCCCTTGCTACAGAGAGACCCAAGGGTCATTTCAGTCCTGTTCAAGACTGGATGCCTTCTCCAGAGTCAGCTGGTCTGTGGCCAGGCAGCCAGGCTGGGACGGGAGCCACACACGTCCACCCCCTCGGAGGGCAGCTTGCAGTCCAGCCTTTATGTGGGGGCTCTCCTGCCGCCCAGTCCCAGCCACCTGTCTCCCTGCTTTGGGACATCTTCTCCTCAGCCCCTTCCTCTTTAATGGCTATAACATATGTACAGCTCCACTCCCTTCTCCCCACCCCCACCCCTCTCTCTCTCTTCCTGAAGCTTACAGCCTGGCTTGGAGTTCATAGCTGCAACACACACTCATGCACATACCCACACATGCGCGCGCACACACAGCTGTGGAATGTTTTCCTGCTTCTGGGGTTTATGGCTCTGGGGCATGTGCTCTTTGCCACCTCCCCAAGTACCTGACATCTAGTCTAGTCCTTCCCTCCCTTTGAACTCTTGTGGGGAGCTGAGGCTGAGTTGGAACGGTGGACCAGTGAGGGGAGAAGTGAGAGTCGTGAAAGACCCCACCTGAGTTGCTCAGGGGCAACCATGAACCTCCCCAGCCCCCATCACCAGCGTTCATATAGCAGGGACTGGTTTTCCCATTTGGAAAGGGAACTGGCCCCTAGAAAGCCAGACTGAAACCAGCCCCGCCTCCCTGGATTTTCATTCATTCTTTTAACAGCCATTCATTCCTCTGGTATTTGTTGAAGACCCACAAAATACTAGGTTGGGCCTGAAGGGGTTATGGCAGAGAGCCAGGCAGACAGATCCCCTGCTCAAGACCCAAGCAGTTCAACACCGGCATCTCTATCAGAGTGGTGAGTGGCAGGATAGGAAGGATGTGGAGTTGGGGGAGGGGCAGAGGAAGAGTGAAGGAACCTCTTGTCTCACTGTCTGTCAATCACAGAAGCCTTCATCTCAGACACACTGTCCAGGCTGGGAGTAAACCAGGCCTCAGCCGGAACAAGGGACAGGAAGTGCTGTCCTGCAGCGGAAGCTGGAAGAGAAGCTGTATCTGAGACAGGAGAGTCTAGCATGTGCAAGGGCTGGGGTGTGCATCGAGGTATGGATATGGACAGCTTGGGATCTCTTTGAGTAGTTAAGCTTCCTCCAGGGACTGAGAGAACCTTGGAAAAGTCTTAAGCAGAAGAATGACAGAACCAGGTGTCTCAAGTTGGCTATTTCATTGTGAGCCGGAGAAATGGACCTCAGACATTAGACAAGGGGCTTCCAGAAAGGGATGTGGGAGCTGGCAGTTGAGTAGGGGTGGAGCAGCCAGGCCTCACAGAGACGGGAAGCCCACAACCTCTCCTAGAGGGGGCCACTGAGGGGGCATTGGTCTTTTTTTTGTTTGTTTGTTTGTTTTTGTTTTTCTGAGACAGGGTTTCTCTATGTCGCTTTGGTGCCTGTCCTGGATCTCCCTCTGTAGACCAGGCTGGCCTTGAACTCACAGAGATCAGCCTGGCTCCGCCTCCCCAGTGCTGGGATTAAAGGCGTGCGCCACTACCGCCCTATGAGTGTATGGGTCCTTGAGCCTGCTACACCCCAAGGTCTAGGTACCAGGGGGAAGGGAAATAGGGGATAGCTTTCTGGCCCATCCAGCCACCTAAGGAACTGGAGTGGGACAGCATGGACAGAGCTCAGGGTCATTGTGCAGGTGAAACTAAAGGAACCAAACCCTGAAGAACACACACTGTGCGATCCACTATTAAGTTCTAATGAAGTCAGGCCCAGGCAGAAATCAGTAACAGTGGCTGCCCCTGACAGGGAGCAGGGAGCAGCTTACCAGAAAGGGCATAAAGGAATGTCCTCTCCCGGATCCCTGGGAGTGAACACTGAGGGTCACACAGGTGTGTGCACCTGCCAGAACCCTTTAGCCTATGGGATTAAACCCCGTGAACAGTGACAACTGGCAATAGAAGCTGATCGCAAATAAACCGAGAAAGAGCTGGCCTGAGAAGCTCAGACCACACACCCGTTGTTCCTTGGCTGGGGGCTGAGGGGTCCCTGCCAGACAGTTCCCCTAAGACATTTTGCAACAGGAGAAGGTGATTTCCTGAAGTCAGGCCAAGGAGCTGTTGTTAAAAGAGGGAATGAGAGCTTAAAGGCCAGACAACAGCTTTAGAATGGAGAGGGTTCTGTCTGCTAACTTAAGGAAAGAAACAATGTAACTAAGCAGAGAAGGCAGAGTAAACCCGTGAGTAACAAGGGCCCGTAGGGGGGTGAACCGTGAAGCTTATCTTCTGGTCCTTTGATCGAAGACAATGGGCTCCTGCACCCCTTGGGACCCAAATGGCAGCACCCTTGACATGTTCATTGTGGGACAAAGACCTGGATGGAAAATAACAAGAAGGTGGAGGATCTCATTTATAGGAACTTGCCCCCCCCCCCAAAGCATTACCTCCAAGGGAAGAAATACGACTTCATTGAGAGAATTCCTCAGAGAGAGACAGAGAGAGAGAGAGAGAGAGAGAGAGAGAGAGAGAGAGAGAGAGAGAGAGAGAGAGAGAGAGAGAGAGAGAGAGAGAGAGGCAAGTGCATACCACATGGTATGGTGCATCAGCTGTTGGACCTCCTCCATGTGTCACTGGACACATGCTGATGGCTTGAAGCACTTAAGCCCTCCTTGTGGGCGCTGCTGCAGCTGCTGTCAGGGCTGCCGATGAAGTAAAGAAGTGGTCTCTTTTTCTTCCTGCCCTGGAGACCAAGAAGGCCTTCACTACCTTCTCCCCAAGCAGTGCCTTCCTCCTGGTCCATGGGGGCAGTTGTGGCCAAATTGCTCCTGCCTACCCTCAGCAGCCTGGCCTTCCTCCCCACAGTGAGCATCGCTGCCAAGAGGCAGTTTTACATGGAGGCCATGGTCTACCTCTTCACCATGTTCTTTGTGGCGGTAAGTGGGGGCCTAGGAGGAAGACCTCCTGGGGAGGGCCACCACCCCTGTCCTGTGCCGGGTGATGGAGAGACATGATTTGGAAGAGAGAGGTGTGTGTGAGGGTTCCTGGTGACTGGAAAAGAGAGGGTTTGGAGTCTGTCTTCCTCTATGGACCTCAGTTTCTCCATCTGTGCCAGGAATTTGAGAGGGGGCAGTGACTGACACATGTGACTAAAGCCAAGCCTGTGGTGGCCCCATGTCAGTTAGCTAAGGACAACCTTTGCAGGTTGCTTCTTGTTGTGCTCCCCACACCCTCCTCTCTACCAACTTTGTCCCGGGAATTGCCGAGCCGGGGAGGACAGAGTGTGAGTGAGCAGGCCTAATGGACCCACTAGGTTTAGGGGAGGGAGAGGGCCTGGGTGGATCTGACTCCAGAATTCAGAACTACCATCATTGAGAAGGACCAGCCTCTCTCTCTGAGTCCTTTCTTTCTCTTCCATTATGTGTCTGGCAGGCTGTCTGCCTCTGAGTTCCCTCTCCCGCTCTGTTCCCAGGTAATGTCCTGGAGTGAGTCTTCTGTCTTTCAGGGGCGTCTGGCCTGTGTCAGGGCCTCTGCTCCTCCTCACCCCCGCTGTGTGTCCCTCCCTCTGCTTCGCTCACTAGTCCTGCATCTAGTTTTTCCTCTGCCTCTCTCTCCCTTCTTTCTGTCTGTATCCAGCTCTTTTGATTTCTAGAATTACACCCCATGGAGTTCACCCTCCTCTTCTCCCTGCTCTGTCTCTCGTTTCTTCTCCTGACCCTCTGTGTCTCTCTGGTTTTATCTACCTGTCCATCCAACTTGCTTCTGTCTGTCTATGTAATCTATCATCTATCTAATTATATGTTTATCTACCATCTATTCACTTATCATTTGTCTTGGTCTAGTGTATCTATTCATCATCTATCTGTTGTCATCTGTCTAGCCAGCCATCTCACTCTGTCCATTCACCTACTCATCTCTCTTCCCTCTGTTTAAAGGCTGCCTATCACTGTGCCCCTGAGTCCTTCTGAGTCCCCCTCACACTGGTCCTCACTGCTGTCCTCTAACCAGGGGTCACACCATCTCCCTCACCGCTCTATAACCTTTGTTTCTCTCTCATCACACCTATCCCTCAACAGTTTGTATGGTGTGTGACCCACACATTGGTAGGATACATGCTCAGGGTTGGCAAGCAGCCTCCTAGTCTCCTTCTTAAGACAGAGCCAAACCTTTGGAAAATAGTATCCTGTCCCTAGGCCCGCCTCTCCCCGCAGCAGGGTCTCAATGGACAAGAGCACAGAGTATGTGAGGGTAGCCAGCTGGCTCTGAGTGAGTGAGGCCATGAGCACACATGTGTGTGCTCACATACTGCTCCATAGCCTGAGCAAGCCAGAGTGATTTCTAGCAGGGGGAGAAGCCACCAGTGCTCGTGGGCTGACAACAGTCGGGGAGGAGTTGGCACATGTCTACCTGCTGGTTGTGGTGGTCCCATGGGTAACAGTGAGTTTCTCCAAGGAACTGGAAGCTTTCGGGCTCTGAGTTCACATTAGGAGAGGAGGAAATTAGGTCACTGACAGCCACAGGCAGCAACCGGGGTGGGGAGGGGCTCAGCAGCACCCATGAGCCTAGGGTACTGATTTGCATTTGATGAAAGAGGAAACGGAGTCTCAGAGAAGCTGGGCCATCGATGTCACCATGCACAGCACTCTGAGATCCTGGGCTACCTATGGGGCTTTCCCACACTGTCATTTGCTCCTCGTGAAACCTAGCCAAGGTCAGAGCCAAGATGAGACCCCAAGGTCAGGGACAAAAGCCAGGTTCTTGTACCCAAGGCTCATGTTAGACATAGCCCAGCAACTCACCGGCCCCAGTTAGGTCACCCCTGCCTGCCCTGGGCCTGGGCTGGACTACAGCTGCCTCTGCACCAGCCTCAGAGACCCACCCTGCCCCACCCCACCCAGAGTGGCAGGACCAGCTGTCTCCTATGACAAATGTCCCCTGGCCTCAAAGCCACAGTCTGTGCCTCTTCTGCCTTCCACGTGGCTCCTCTAGGACCCTCCATGGCAACCACCAGTTGTGTGGTGTGCTGATGTCGAATACAAGAATGACTCTTGGTGTCAGTTACCCAAGAGTGGGCCTGATTTATCCCAAAGAGTTCTGCTCTCCCTTGTTCTAGCTAATCGTATAGCCATGTAATCTAACAGCAGATTTTAATCTAAGAATCTTGGACAACCGCATCCTCTCCACATGCTGAACAGCACAGCAAACAGGCTAAAAAGAATGGGGGATCTGAGTCTTAAACTTCTGCAGGAGTCTCACAAGGGAGACAGCTGTTTCTCTGGCCCTATTGACTCAACAGCATACAAAGCCACATGCAGATATTTTCAGCCTATACCCACATGTTGCTTTCAGCATGTGTTTTTTTTTGGGGGGGGGGTAGGGGGGCACATGTTTTCAATGCCTTGCTGATTTTAACACATGGTCTTAGCCCTGGTCACCACATCTCACACAAACATATACTGTTCTGAGTCAGGGGCATAAAAAAGTCACAAAGGAGAAGTAGAGACTACAGAACAATCAAAAGTGTATGCATGCATCTGAGCCTGTACGACTCGGTTACACTAGAAATTCAAAGACTGATTGCACTGTTTTTCTCAGAGGTGAGTTAATTATGACCAGGGTGAGTACAGCGTTCTAGATGATCTCAAAGGACAATATTAACTTGGTTTCAGATTGGGTGAAAGTTGTATTTGTAAAGGCAAACTTTAAACAGCATTTCCCAGAAAAATCATTCCCACCTTGTGGAGCACCATGCTTGCAAGCCCCACAGAACAGATGCTCTCACTCCAATGGACAGAGGAGGCCCTGAGAGACCGGCCTCTTTCTTGGACCTCTCTGCCGGATCTGCTCGGCTAACAGCAGGGTTGGAGCTCCTGCCACACCCAGCTATGTCCTAGCCCAGCCCCAGTTGAGCCAAATCCACCTGCCTCTGGGGAGGAAGTGTACTCATCACTGCCTTGCCCTTGCCTCCTTGGGTAGGGAGGTGCCCCAGGGAAGTTCACAGTCACACAGATCCAAAAAAAACCTCAGGGCCTGGGGACAGTTCAATCTCCTGCTATAAAGCCTCCTTCTCTGGCCCTCACACACAGGCAAGTATTCTATGCTGGGATCTAACCTAATGAGGCTCTTCCGCTCCTTGTGGGGAAGGTACTGATGCTTCAGAATCTCACAGTGAGTGAGTTTTACTCATCCACTCGGGCCTATACAACAAAAGGGAGCACAGATGTTACAGTCGGTGGGCCCAGGTGGGGTTGAGTGATGTGGCTTTATTATAAGGACTGGAAGAGCAGGAGCCCCTCCCAGAGCTGAGTCTCTTTCCTTCTCTGCTTGAGAGCCTTGATCTGGCCCCACCTGAAGCTTGTCCTCCCCGAAGCTAAACAGTTAGAGCTCACACCTAGCTGGGAACCTCCTCTTCGCCAATGTCCCTTTAAACTGTGCAGTACCCAAAGCTCAGGGCAGCATCAAAGCTCTGGGTGGGGCTGATCCAACACAGAAGCTGGACCACCCCCTCCCTTCCCCTGGATGCTCTCAGTCCACAGCAACTGTGATCAGCAGGAGGTCTCTAAGCTTCTAAGTCAGGCCCCACGTGCTTGACTGACACATCCATCAGGCAGGGTCCTGGCCCCCTATGGTGCCCCTGCTGCCTCCAGACAGGGCTGTTTTCCAGCTTGCCTGCTCCCTCCTGCTGAGCTGGGTTTACCAAGAGCCGATTGTGCTGGCTCCCGGGCTTGTTTGTGCCAGTCTTACTTGTCAAAATAATTATGTCATGTAATTAAATATTACTTAAAATGATGAAATGTGAAGCAAAAGGAGAGAGAGTTGTTTTCCGTAAGAAATAAGTTGACTGCTTGGAAATATTTCATATAGGGCCTTTTGCTTAAACGTAAATCTGTTCAGCTACACGTCAAGAACACGCCTGCTGGAGTATGGGGGAGAGGTGTAGAAAAGAGGGTGGCAGGATCAGCCCCTGCGTGGAGGAGTCTGAAGTCTTCCTCCTTTGTGAAGAGCAGGGGGTCCAGGATAAAAGACTCACATCCAAAGATTGACGCGGGAACATGTGTGCCCTTGCAATCAGCCCAGGGGCAAAGGGTGTGTGTGAGTGGTATTTTAGGATCCCCTTCTCAACAGGCTTCATCTGAGTGACTGCCAGCCTTGGGTCAGTGATAAGAGAGTCTGAAAGTGATATTTACTTCCAGTCCTGATGGACTCACCTGTTTAATCTCCACAAGACCTCGTCAGGGGGAGTATCCAATTGTGGGCCCTGATAACATGGGGAAACTGACACACAAAGCCATCAAGGACTCATGCTAGTGAGGGGCCTGTGGCTTGGGACCAGTTCTCACCCATCACCGATGCCCACGGCCCGCTGACCTCATGTGTTTTCCCACAGTTCTCCCATGCCTGCGATGGGCCTGGCTTGTCCGTGCTGTGTTTCATGCGCCGTGACATCCTGGAGTACTTCAGCATCTATGGGACGGCCCTGAGCATGTGGGTCTCACTAATGGGTGAGTGGCTATCTCTGCCAGTGGGGGGGAGCCATTCCCCAACACCAGCCAGCCCCCAGCCCATCTCTGAGATCCTCTCCCTCCTTTCTGCTTTGCAGAGCCAGCGGCTTAATCTACTAAAAGAAACACGCACATTTCTTAGATGCCTGCACTCTGACTTTTCACATCCTTAAGTGATTCCTGTAATAAGCACTTGGGACATTTAAAGAGCAAAGGCACACAAAGGAGAGGACAAAAGTGTTCCCGCACTCAGCCCTACAGAGACCACCATTGCCCTCAGGTCAGGGACTTAGCCTCCCAGAACATACTCCAGGCTCAAGGGAACATTCGCTCTTATGGGTCATCCTCAGCTCTGGGTTTTAGGAAGGTAGGCCATTCAAAATCCTCTCTTTGGGCCTGGAGTACAGCTCAGTAGTCCAGCACTGGCCTGGTGAGCAATAGGGTCCATCCATTGGTTCCATCTCCAGCACTGTGAAAATTTGAAAGACAAAGAAAGAAGGAAGGAAGGTGTCTTAGTTAGAGTTTCTATGGCTGTTGAAGAGACACCATGACCATAGCAACTCTTTTTTTTTTTTTTTTAAAGATTTACTTGTTTATTATGTATACAGTGTTCTGTTTGCATGTATCCCTGCAGGCCAGAAGAGGGAGCCAGATTTCATTATAGATGGTTGTAAGCCACCATATGGGTGCTGGGAATTGAACTCAGGACATCTGGAAGAACAGCCAGTGTTCTTAACCTCTGAGCCATCTCTCCAGCCCCCCTCATAGCAACTCTTATAAAGGAAAACAGTTAATTGGGGTGGCTTACAGTTTCAGAGGTTTAGTCCATTATCATCATGGTGGGAAGCATGGTGGCCTGCAGGCAGACATGGTGCAGAAGGAGCTGAGAGTTCTACATCTGGATCTGCAGGCAGCAAATGAGACACACTAGGCCTGGCTTGAGCATCTGAGACTTCAAAGCTCACCCCCCAGTGACATACTTCCTCCAACAAGACCACACCCACTCCAACAAGGCCACACCTCCTAATAGTGCCACTCCCTGTGAGACTGTGGGGAACATTTTCTTTCAAAGCACCACAGAAGGGATGGAGGTAGTAAGAAAGCAGGAAAGATGAAGGAAAGAAGAAAAGAAAGGAAGGAAGGAAGGAAGGAAGGAAGGAAGGAAAAAGAAAAGAAGGAAGGAAGGAAGGAAGGAAGGAAGGAAGGAAGGAAGGAAGGAAGGAAGGAAGGGACAGGGAAAGAAAATAAAGAAAAGGGAGAAACCAAATCAACTCAACCTTGCTTCTCAGGGATGTTGTCACAGGTGGACCATATTACCTGAGGGTCCCTCCTGAGACTCAGCCCTATGCACCACTCACCCACTCACATATCTCTAGTCTTAATACTTTCATCCGAGGATTCCCAAGAAATACTGATCACCCAATCTATCATTTAATTACAGCCACACTGATCCAGGGAAGCAGCATCCCCTGTTTCCTCCAAATAACCAAAATTCAGACCCTGTGGGGACCAAGTTGGGCCTTCGGGTCCTACAGACTGAGAGGACATCCCAATGGGTTCCCAAGGGTGGGGGCACAGCCAAGGGGAGGGAAGCCACTCACCATTCCTGCGCCTCTCTCCAGCACTGGCCGATTTCGATGAACCCCAGAGGTCAACCTTCACGATGCTCGGTGTGCTTACCATCGCTGTCCGGACTTTCCATGACCGCTGGGGCTATGGGGTGTACTCGGGCCCCATAGGCACAGCCATCCTCATCATTGCTGTGAAGTGGGTGAGTACTGTGTGTACCTCAGCTGACAGGGCCCAGGGAATCTGCAGCTCTCCCCTGACCTTGGTCCCCCTATATGGGGGTCCTATACCTCCTACCCTTATATGCAGGCAAACTAACATAAGAATTGAGCCAAAACTCCTAGAATCCTTAGAAATGGTGACTCATGCTTGAACCCTATCCGCTGCTGGCTCATCAGTAATTACTGGTCCTGGGTAAAGCCAAAACTCATTTTTTTTTCTGTTATGTGTCCAAATACTCATAAAGAATGCTTCTAAGCAGGGCACACGCACGGCTTTTAATGCACCCAGAGATGAGGAGACCACTCATCATCACGGCCATCACTGTCATTATGTTCATCAACTCGTTATCCCCATCATTATCATTCTGAGAGACAATGGCCGCTTACAGCACCCGTTTGGAGAGCAGCTAGGTTAATCTGGAGAGCCTGCCTGAAGGAAGCAAGCTTTGGATATAGTTCTCCTGAGGAAGGAAGGTTTGAGGTGTGGCTGAAGCAGAGTTTTCAGGAGGACTACCCCAGAGGAGGGCCTGGTACCTGACACTCACTCTGCCCTCTACAGTCCCAAGGCTGCAAGGTCTAGAGCCCACCTAAGCTAGCCTATATGAACAAGGGTCCTGATAGCAGACTAGACCCAGGGATGTCTTCTGGACCCCCCTCAGAGCAGTCAGGCCCAAAACACAGACCTGGAAGGCCAGCAGGCTTTGTGCCAAGCAGGTGGCAGCCCAGGCCCCAAGTTCACACCACTCCTCTCTGCATTTTGCATGCAGCACCACTTTGGATCTTGGGGTTCCCCTGAGTAGAACCTCGGCAGTGCAGAGCAGGCCAAGCAGTGCATTGGGGGAAGGGGGTGCGGCGGGGGGGGGGGGAGGCTCTGATTTATCCACAGCAAAGGGAGGACAGGTAAAAGCAGGCAGGAAGCTTCCAAGCACCTCCTACTCCTGCGGGCTCCGAGGAACCCAAGCTTACTCTGCTTTTTAATTAAGGGTGAAGCTAATGTGCCCAGGGGTCAGCAGGCAAACCTGCAACCCCAGGAGGCAGTGGCTGCTGGACTTGGCTGTTCAGGGGGCGATGACGAGATTCTGTCTCACTCTAATTGGGGTGAAGCTGGCCCTGGCTGACCCTGAAGACCAGAGCCTCTTTGTGGCAGAGGTGCTGGGGTTCTGCACGGTTAATTAGCAAACTGGAATGCATAAACATGAAGGCTCCTTCTGATGTTGCTTCCTCATCCTGTCCATCATGGCCCCTTTGCTGCCCTTGGCTGGATCTGGATCTGACTGAATCTTTTTTTTTTTTTTTTAAGACAGGGTCTCACTTTGTATCTCTGGCTGACACATCCAACTCACAGAGCTCCTCCTGCCTCTGCCTCCTGCATGCTGGGATTAAAGTCCAGCACTCCCATACTGACTGGATTTTAATTAACCAGGATAGCATACATGTATTAGTATCCCTCAGTAAATGCCAGCCTTCCCAGGTCTCTGGAGGGAATGGAAGTGAGAGAGGCTGCAGCCACCCACATCTGGGACACAGATCCCATCTCCTAGATCACTAAATATGCAGGTGGTTTGGACTTGCTTCTGAGAATGGGGATAGCATTCTTTCCCATGTCTCACCCTTTGGGGGGAGAAGTATGGAAACAACACTTGGAGAGCAGAAACTGAGTTAAATGGAAAATAGGGGTTCCTAGGACAAAGAAGACCCATGGGTGACCTTGGATATTCTTCCCCTCTCTGGGACCCCAGTGTGACAATTGTGAGATTGACCACATGAGGGCTTCCCAGGCCACTAGCACCTGCACCCAGGCTAATTAGCTGTACCCACAGCACTGACACCATTCACCGGGTCCTCACTCCTGTTAATAATGGCAAGTTTTAGAAGACTGGAAACAGCACCTTATCACCACTTATTTGGTGGTAAAGCCAGCTCTGACCAGCTGTTGATGGCCTTTGTGTTTCTAAGGTATTCAGTGGTGTGTGCAATCAGGGCTGCTGTCCCATGCCCACAGTGTGCATCTGACAGTGGTATGCATAATGGTCTACCCCACTGAAGCCTGAACCATCCTGAGTCTAAAATACCTCTGGGACCCAAGGGTCTGCATTCCACTGAGGAACCACAGGTATCTCATCTCTTCTATGTCATACCTCATCTTACCAAGCTTGTAACACATCAGGGTCTGAGAAATCAAAGCTAATGGAAAAGGACCACTTGGCTGGTAAAGCTGATCATATTAGTCTGCATGCCACTGAAGTCCCACAGACCACCACACAAACCGCCTGGAGAGGAGTGCAGGGCTCATAGGTCCCAAATAAGCTGATATCCTTTCACTGTTAACAATCTCCGTGGGCATGCTCTCTATCTAGTTGGGAGATAGGAATGCATCAGTGACCTTGCTACTTCCCAGAGAGGCAACAAGGGCAGTGGGGACCCAGGGAAAATTGACCCAGAGATTCCCAACCCTATCACTCAGGCAAAGATCTCTGCCAGTTTTGCTTCGGGGGGCCCAGTCCTTACAGAACTGACAGAGGTGCTCAGGCATGTAGAGGAATGGGGGTGGGGCACTTCTCCTACCTGAAGATGGTAGGGTGGTAGGGGATGGCAGTGGGATCATGCCCAGACAACTCAGGAAGGGGCCCTTCCTTGTACTGCACCCCAAAAACCTTAATGTTCCCACCTTGCCCCCGCAGTTGAAGAAGATGAAGGAGAAGAAGGGTCTGTACCCTGACAAGAGCATCTACACTCAGCAGATAGGCCCCGGCCTCTGCTTTGGGGCACTGGCCCTGATGCTTCGCTTCTTCTTTGAGGTATCAGGCCTGTGGGGAGGGGATTGAGCCCTTCAGAGCCCTCTGGAAATGGCTTGACTTGACAGGATAGCAGGCTGTTTTCACAGGGAGGCTCCAAGTCATGTATTCTGTTGTGGTGGGACTTAAAGTTGGTACTCTCCATCCCCAGTGTGCCAGCATCACAGCCTGCATGGACCTGAGGGTCACAGGGAGTCAACCAGGTTGACTTCAGGAAGCTTGATGCATGTCCTGGAAGAGGCCAGGGGCTGATGCCCAGAACCCAGAGGACAGGGGACAGAGGAAGGCAGAAAGCCTTTCTGCCATATTCTCAGAGTGGGATGGCCGGCAGAGGCACCAGATGGCTAGAAGGGCTTAGTCCAGGGAAGGGGCTGAGGCTCCTGACTGACTCACTCTCCTCCACAGGAATGGGATTACACCCTATGTCCACAGCTTCTACCACTGTGCCCTGGCCATGTCCTTCGTCCTGCTGCTGCCCAAGGTCAACAAGAAGGCTGGGAACACGGGGCCCCCCGCCAAGCTGACCTTCTCCACCCTCTGCTGCGCTTGTGTCTGACCACAGCCACTGTTCTAGGTCCCTGCCCCCCTGTCTGGCAGCCCCACCATCTCTCCCAAGACACCTTCTATGCTTCCCAAGTGGTGTGTCAATGAGAAATGGTCTCTTCTGCACCCCAAGAGACCAGCAGACCTGCTACACTCTGCTAAACGATGGTTAGGGACCCACTAACTTCACGTTCACCAGTTGCAGAAGAAAAAAAAAAGGAATTTTCTCCTCTGAGACTTCATAACCATAGGTGTGCCTGGCAGAGCTCTAGACCAGTAGATACTGGCCACAAGTCCCAGCCCAGCAGTGTACACAACAGGGGTGATCTAGTTCCTAAGTCCTGCCTGCCTGGATTGTCTGCTTTCTCTAGAAAACTGATATTGCCACTTCTACCCCCTGCCCAGGCTCTGAAAGTTCCCCCTCCCCCATTTAGGAAGCTGGAGCCAGTGAAACCAGCTTTGGACCCAAGCTTGCATGCCCCTGTCTGGGCCCCATCCCTTTAGCCAGGTCTTAGATCAAGCCATTCAGAGTAAACTCCTGATTGGCCACTAGTCATTAGCCTCCGAGAACACCTTATATACATCCGGTTCCTAGAAAAAGTCTCTGCGCTGAGTGTTACAGTTCCGGTCTTGGGGGAGTGCCTGAGTTCAGGATCAGCAGCTGGCCTAAGTCCAGGTGCTGGTAGACACAGAGCTAAATCTGCTGCTGGCCTGGGTACCCGGGCTGGAGGCGGGGTAGACTGTGGGTCTTCAGTTTACTCTACACTGGCCTGAAGCGCACTCTGGGGCCCTGAAGAAAAGGCGAGTCCAGGCGACACCCCTGGGCCAGGCCTTGCTGGGATTGCGCCATACTGTGAGCAGTCCTATCTATAACAGACTGGGGGTCAGGGCATGGCAGGGCATGGCAGCCATCACAGCAGCCTTCAGACATCACCTCACAAGCCTGAATCTCCCCAGCACCCCAAGCCATCCCCTTTCCTGGTGACCCAAGGCCCAGCTGTCAGCAGGAAGTTACCTACACCTGTCTGGGACTTATTAATGTCTCCAGATGGTGCCATTTCAAGGCAGCAGCTACCCACATCCGGTCCCCACCCACTAGGCAGCTGGCAATCTCTCCTAAGTCATCTCCTGTACCTCCTAAGGAAGCCAGCTCCACCGCTTGGCTTGAATGTTCCTCTCTTCCCAGCTTACCCCTCAGCCTAGCCTTCTGGGTGCCTACCCCTGTCAGCACCCACAACTCTGTATCTCGGCCATCTCTACCTGTCCCTTGCCTGCCCTCATATCCCCAGGTCCTGGTGGTAGACAGAGGTTACCCATAGGCCTTACCCCATCTCTGGCCCCAGAGATTCTTAATGATAGAGCAGCCCAGGATGCCACAGGGCACCTCAGAATGTTCAAATCCGGCTCCTAGGGACTAGGCCTCATTTATCAGATGAGGAAGCCAAGACACATAGTCTGGGCTCTGAGGCTCCTCAGAAAAGGAGCAGAGGGCTGGAGAGGTGGCTCGGTGGCTGAGAGCACTTGCTGCTCTTCCAGAGGACCCAGGTTCAATTCCCAGAACCCACCCAGCAGCTCACAACCATCTGTAACTCCAGTTCTAGAGGATATGATCACCATAAGCTCCCTCTTCTGGCCTCCAAGGGACAAGGCATACATGTGGCGCACACACGTACTTGGAAGTAAACACCCAAACACAAAATGTAAAAATAAATAAATCTAAATAACAAATAAAGGAAAAAACTCAGAGGGGGGAGAACAGGAGCAGAGTAGGACAAGGGCCCTGAGGTGTGAGGCCTCACTTGCCTCACTGCTGTGCCCTCCTCTGGCCGCCAGTCACACACCACACAGGCCACTGTAAACCCACACCTGCACGTGACATACACATATGTACCTTAAGCACATATCACATGAGCTCACACACCAGGGAGACACAGGGTGTCCTAGAGCCCAGTCTTCCTTTGGGTCACCTCCTATTTCCATAGGAGTAACTGCTGAGTCAGAGCTGCTCGCCCCAAGTGAGAGGTGCAGATGAAACATGCCAGGGCCCCTCCGCAAGCAGGTGTCTGCAGGGTGTCCCCAGCGCATCATGTCTCTGTCTCATCCCAACCCCGAGCAAGCAACCCTGCCTGCCTCCAGCTCGGCAGCCACTTTTGGAAAATTTGGAGGCAACAAGATGTCCTTGAGCAGGGAGGGCCACGGACGGCCCAGCCAAAGGGCCATAGCGACAGGCTCTCCCTGGTGGTGCTGCTGATTTATGAGAGTCTTCTGGGCACCTGGCCAAGTCTGTAAGTCACGGAAGATTAGGAGGCGCACTCAAGCCCTCAGCCTGGCCGCTGCAGCCCGTGCCTGGCCTATAGGGCTCCGGATGTAGCCTTACTCTCCAAGCATCTCAGCTCCCATGGCTGCTTGTAGGGGCCCTGGGAACAATCCTGAGCCCAGTTTGCAGATGAGAACACTGAGGACCGTGGATGCTAGTAACACAGGACAATGACTGAAGACCTGGCAATGACACCTAGGGCTTTCCTCAGTCACTCCCCCTGTGGCCTCTTCCAAGGTCTACATTGACATCTTAGGGCAGGAGGGGAAGACAGGAAGAGATGAGCCACCATGCTCCCCAGTGGCCACTGGCACTTCAAAACTAGCAAGAAAGGACCAGACCTTAGATGTCAATGACTCTGAACCCTGCTGCTGTCCAGCTCAGGGTCTCTGTGTCCCTGGAATTTGGGAATCATGGCATGTGGAGCCAAAGAGGGCTTCCAAGGTCATCCAGCCACTTAAGACTCTAGACAGCACTGCTTCTCCTCTCTTGCATGATGGGGAGACCCCAAAGCATGCAACCTGATATCCCTATCTGTAGAGTGCTTAGAAAAGCTCCATTAGGTGCTCCTAGGAGTTGAAGAGCCACACTGCCTGAGGGAACCTGTTGTATGGATGTAGGGTCCCCTCTTGGGGCAGTTGATCGTGTGCACGGTGGTTGTTGGTAAGCTGAGTCAGAACTGTAAGTAGCAATTTCAAGTTGAAATAGCCATGAGTGGACTGTAGACGCCAGGGTGCAGCTGAACTCCAGGTACATGGTAGAGAATTAGACCGCACACACACACACACACACACACACACACACACACACACACACACACACGGAGGGAGGGAGAGAGAGAGAGAGAGAGAGAGAGAGAGAGAGAGAGAGAGAGAGTCAAGGACGTGATACGGGACCCTCTGTCTCAGTGATAATGGAGGCGAAAGCACAGACTGAACAGGCCAAGTTCTAACGGGGGCATCCAGATGGAGGAGTCGGGCAGCCAACTCTGAGAGACATCAAGCCGGCCCCTGACAAAGAAAAAGTTCTTGTTTATGTGCGAGGGTGGGCTAATGTGGACAAGGGGCAGATCCTGGGCATGGCATGAAGAAGGGCATCCAGCTTAACTGGTCAGCTGGAGCACCGGGTCCACAATGAACACTCGGCATGTAGTAAGAATGGGCTGCTGGGGCTGCTAAGGACAGTGGAGCGTGAACACCCTGTGCTCTCACTGGGTAGCCTTCCCTGAGTTAATGCCTCAGCCCTGCACTTGCCCTTGGTCCCTGTGCATTTCCCTGTCTCCAGCACACTTACAGAAGACACACTTCAATTCAAAATCAAACACTGTGCTTTGGGAGCTCAGCTTGAACCTAGTGTCCTATTCCCCCCACCCCCCAGCCCTGTTTCTAAGTTCACTGGACGTTCAGGTTTGAGAAAGCTCAAGTTAAGACAAGAGGCAGAAGCAAAGAGGCTGGGAGTCCCAGATCTGGCTGGGGCTTCCCTGACAGGACATGGGTGGGAGAGTGGGTCCCTCCTCCCAGTCTATCACATCCAAATCTGGGAAGATGAGTAGGCGCAGACCCATCACAGCCATCCCGGGCCCGGGCATGACCACATTCATCTTAGTGTCCAGTGCAAATGCACTTTGGCCTTGGTCCCACTGTCAATGTGCACACATACCCTCCTGGCACACCCCCTTGGGGCCCCACTCGGGGGGGAGAGTGTGCCCTACCTTGGACAGCAAGGCAAACGGAGAGGGATAGTATAAACATTTACAGCAAGGTAGACACAACAGTCCATTGTGGCAGCGGCCTGGCTTCCCCCAGCAGGGGAGAGGCTGTTGGGGGGGGCAGGAGAGCGCCTGGGCAGCCGCCAGGACCTGCGCCAGGACCTGCACGCAGAGGTGTTTTTGTCTGAGAGCAGTCTGCATGCTGCCGCCTGCCTCTGTCAGTCTGCTACTGAAATTTCCTGTCTCTGTTATTCTCTTCTTCAGGAAGAGATCTGAAACCCAAAACTTTTATTGCTCCTTTAAAAGGGCTTTACTGCTCCCCACCCGCTTCCCAGACTTGTCCTGCTCAGAGAGCTGGGATTGTAGTTAGGGGCAGCATGCTGGGCACTGGGTCTCTGTGGGCAGGCCAACCACAGGGTCTTGGCTGAGGAGGACCAGAAGGAAAGAGGAGAAGGGGGAGCTGGGGAGCTAGAGTGGCCCAGGATAGCTGGACTGGGCTAACTATCCATGTGCTCCTCCATGTGTCCATCCTGCTGGCTGGTGAGCTGGTCAGGCACAAGCATGGGGACCCAGGACCACATACCCTAACACCTTAGCTGACCTCAGCCCCCTTGTCTACCTCAGCAAACGGCTTGTTTACCTATAAAAACAGGATCAGCAGCCTCAGCCTGCCATCCCTTGGAGAGAGTTAAGTGAGAAACAAGCCCACTTGGAAAAGTGTTAGGAAATTAAAAAGAATCAGAGAGGAGAGGGCTAGGCAAATAGGCATAGAATGTGGACTGGTCCAGGCAGGTCAGGGTCCAGCCCTCTCTCTACAACCTCAGGCAAACTTCATAGGTCCTCTTAGCCTCAGTTTTCCCATTTTAACAGAACCTAACACCTTTAAATCTTCTCAAGATTCATTGAGACAGATAGGGGCTGGGAAATAGTTCAGTGGGCTCAGGTGCGGTATTTTTTTCCATTTTTTAGATTTTTTAAAATTTTGTAT